AGTTGATATTAAATTTTATAGGTGTACAGACACAGGAAGGGAGCATTGCTAGACTCTAGTTATTAACTATACTGAAGAGCGATGGTTCACTTGTAGGTGTGCAATGAAAGCAGAGTTGCTTCTGACAGACATGACATTTTATTTAAAAAGAATAAAACACAACAGTACAACACAGGAAAGTACAATTTAGTGTTGATTAAATAATTACAGTACAGTGTTATACTTCCTGCTGAGGCTCTGCAAGCTAAACTGCAACTCAGGTGAGATACAAATTCCTAAATAACAAGAGTGCTGACATGACAATGCATATTAGTTACTGGATGTTGTTATCATTGTTGATATAAAAAAAAAGATATACAATTGTCCTCCTAGAGTTGCAGAACAGGTTATACAGCAGCCAACTCAAAGAAAAGCATATACCAACTTTATTTACTTGAACTGACCACAAGAGCCAGTAAAGCTATCCTCACTGTGCTGTTCCAGCCTGTACAGGAGAAAACAAATTACTGTGAAAGAAATCCTATCACTGCAAAATCTTGACTGAGAGCCCAGCCTCTTCTCAGCACGGGTGTTTCTCAGGTAAGAGCAGATATCCAATTACTTCAGCATTCTAATCCTAAGTAGGATTTCCATTATCATTAATAACACCTGAATTGGTATACTTGAAAGAAGACATAACAGGCAGAGGTGTTAAAAAGTATAATAATTGGATACCATCTGGGCAACTGAAATATGTTTTCTAGCAAAAGAGTGGTATTCAAACATAGACAAGAAGGTATACTGGGATAGTTTGAACACTGATTCACATCACAGGATGATGCATACTGCTATTAAAGCTTTTTCCTCAAATCCAGATTAGTTAGCATTTGGAAGCTTTAAGATATACAAAGCTTACTGTTTCCTCTACTTGAGCAGGCTGGGGGTGGAGGGAAGAAAGGGAAGAAAAACTGCAAAGTGCCACAGCTTCAAAAGAACAGTCTGCGTTCCTCCCCACAGTGGACAGCCACTGACAGCTGTAACAATGTGTGCAGGGAGATACCAACAGCTTGTAAGGTGGCAAGGATAAAACTACTGCACCATACCTGCTTTTCAGAAAATTTCCCTTGCTATCTAAGTCCCCATTATTCACCGGTTGTGACCAGTACTGTCACACTCAGTGGCACACTAGTGCAGGAAAGCATCTAGCTTCTCAGGATGTCAAAAGACATGTCACAGCCACTTCTGGTTCCCGTCCCATTTCAAAAGAAAACTAGAGGGTGTGGTGACAGGAGAGGAACGCACACACTGAAACCACTGCAGACAAAAGTAAAGGTAAGCACCAACTCCGTCTGGGTGCACCACAGAGTCGAGCTCAGTGCACCAGGAATATAACCCAACCACAGCTTCAGGCAGTCACGCTGATTCACCTGGCAAATCATCCCACAGATTAACTAATTTAAAGATTGGAAAGGTGCTGCCAGGTCCATTTTACCAATACTAGTAGAATTGTTTTAAGTGCCAGAGGAACATATTTTTTACTATGCCAGTAAGCTGTCTCAATTGTTCCTGGCTGCACAATGTATTGAACACCAAAGCAACCAAACGACGTGACTGAAGTTAAACTGCCCCACAGCATACTGTGCCATTTTGATGCAGCTACTTTATGCATTCTCTGAATCAGAATAAAGGAAATCAGATGGCTTGAACCCTACACAACTGGGAAAAAGCAGCTCGCTCCCACGAAGAGGACAAACCCTGCATGGGGAGGGAAGAGGCTGTGTGCCCCATGGCCTGACTCAGCAGAACACCTGCAATCACCTAGTAGGGCTGAACAGGAAAGGGTAGGTGGGATGGAAGAAAGTCCAACTCTTCCAGCACTGCCAGATCTCTGAGACTGCAGCTGACAACTGTTTATCAACATAGCCTATTACAAAAATATGTCTACACTGCACAGTGCCCCCTAATTCATTAGTTACCAGAGAAAAGTAGAGATGTTTGCACAGGACAATTTGCACTTCTCATTGGCAGTGGTTAGTTGTTTGACTAATTTAATGCCTTTGCAAGGGATATTGCGTATCAGTTAGTTTAGCAAACAAACATTAGAACTAATGAAACCTGCAGCTGCATGTTTCATTAGACTGGCAGCACAAGCAGTGTCAGAGCTGCAAGGAAGCAACTTCAGTTTTGAGCCAGAGACCACTCAGCACTGAGCAGAGAGGTGCTTACGCACAAGGGCTGCTCAGGGCACAGGTGTACACTCCTGGAGACACATACTGAGTTCTCATATTTGTCTGTTCTTGTGCCAGATGCACCACTGCTGAGTCCACTTGTGTGTCACTCAGAGCTGTACTTCCCTTTGCAAAATAAATTAATCCCTTCCCTCTTGTGCAAGGACAACCAGAGGGCTTCTGATACCAAGTCTGATGAAGAAATCTGTGCACTACATAGAAGTTTTCAATACAAGTACTGAATTACTTTTTTTTTTATCTTGAAATCGAAAGGGTCTATTTAGAAAATAAGGCCCTCTATGTCCTTCTGAGAAGCTTCCAAGAAAGCGGATTGTGGGGAATTGTGGCAGGAACAACTGAGTGGGTATAATGATACAGATGCTCAGATGGTCACTATGCCACTCACTTAAAAGTCATATATAGCATTATATGAAACAGTCTGTTCTGCTGTGACAGAGTAAGTAATTTCCACAAAGGTGGGCACAAGGAAAACCTTCAATATGAAACCTTCTCCAGGAAAATGTTTTTCCTCACCAGATCTCTTTAGTTCTAATATCCTTTTTGGGCTCCAATCTACTTCACCCTCAGCCTTCAAAGCCAGTGCTGTGCAGCGAGTGGACTGCCCGTGCTGCCAAACCTCACTGGAGTGGCACAGCGTGTGAGGGTGCTCAGTAGAACTGCTGACAGAAGCTGGGAGCAGTGGCTTTGTGGGGGCACAGCAGGAAAGGCTGGTAGGGGTCACTTCCCTACGCTCTTCTCCCCTTCCTGCTGCTGCTGCTAACTCCTGACAGGGCCCACACGGAGTGTGACCGACTGCTGTGCAGCCACCTGAGCCACTGGGCACCTGTGTCAGCCACCATTCCAGCCAGGCCCAGGCTCCACTCGGATCCACGGCGCAGAGAGCAGGCTGACTCATCCAGAGCGCTTGGGCCCGCACACAGCACTCTTAACTGCACTGTTTCACAGTATAAGCTAAAGCATCTGTGGTGAAAGGAGCACAGTACTCAGTTCAATATTATGAGTTCTCATTACCGCCTTTTGGTTTTTGTTTTGTTTTAAAAGAAGAAATGAGGATATGTTAAAAAACACCAGGAATACACCTGCTTTGATCCTCCACAAGCAGAATCTTTCATTCCATATATGTAAATGGTAAAATTAACCTCATTTCCTTAAGAGTCCTAAAGTGCTACAGGTGTTTACAGCCTAACAAAGACTATTCTATATTAACAAGAGATTTCAACATTGTAGGGAACTGCATAGGGGTAGCTGGCAGAGAACAAAGAACATAGATGCAGAATAGCAACTAATAGATGTGAATTTTACCACATACAGAAAAAATTACAAATGTTTTAGTAAATGCTGGAGTGAAAGATTTTCCAGTAAGCATGCCATGTAACAGCAAATTATTTCCTCCTGGAAACAGATTCCCATTTTAAGCTTCAAGTTAATTGTTTTAACAATGCATGCAAAGCTAACTTGCTGATACTTATACTTGCTAACACCTAATTACACATTATAACTGTCAATGCAATTCATTCTTTTCACAGAATCATTTAGGTTAGAAAAGACCTCTGAGATCATCAAGTCCAGCCTGTGACCAAACATCACCTTGTCAACTAGACCATGGCACTGAGTGCCACATCCAGTCTTTTCTTAAACACCTCCAGGGATGGGCACTCTACAACCTCCCTGGGCAGCCCATTCCAACATCTAATCACCCTTTCAGTGAAGAAATTCCTCCTAATGTCCAACCTGAACCTGGTGCAGCTTAAGACTACGTCCTCCTGTTCTGTCACTAGTTCCCTGGGAGAAGAGGCCCATGCCTACTTGGCTACAATCGCCTTTCAGGGAGTTGTAAAGAGTCATAAGGTCACCCCTGAGCTGCCTCTTCTCCAGGCTAAACAACCCCAGCTCAGCTGCTTCTCACAGCACTTACCCTCCAGACCCTTCACCAGTTCCACTGTCCTTCTCCGGACTCCAGCATCTCAATGTCCTTCCTGAACCAAGGGACCCAGAACTGGACACAGCACTCGAGGTGTGGCCTCACCGGTCCAGGGGGACAATCACTGTCCTAGTCCTGCTGGCTGTATTATTTCTAATACAAGCCAGGATGCCCTTGGCCTTCCTGGCTCATGTTCAGCTGGTGTTAACCAGCACTCCCAGGTCCTTTTCCACTGGGCAGCTTCCCAGCCCCTCTCCCAAACCCATAGCACCGCAGGGGTTGCTGTGACACAAGAGCAGGACTTGGCACTTGGCCCTGTGGAACCTCATACTGTTGGTCTCGGCCCAGCCAGCCTGTCCAGATCCATCTGGGCACATCTGCAGTATTTTCACTTCAATATATGGGGTAAATCATAAACTGTAAACTTAAGGTTTTATATATAAAAATGAATTTGTTCTAGAACTCCTAGAACCAGCTAAGGAACCATTCAGATGTAATTTTAAAAGCTAATTAATTTGTTTACTTTCCTGCACAGAGAATCAACAGTTAGAGACTAATTTTCCCATGACGAGGATAAGACATTCCTGTCTAGACAGCACACTAACTCGAGGCCGAGATCTACCAACAGGGGCCCTTACGAGGTACTTCGAGTGGCGTTTTTTTCAACATGGCTCCATCAAAGCAACGGTTTCGAAAACGTGTTTTCCTTGCTCTTCGGACCTCAAATAACGTGTGAAGCCTTTGTAATGCTTCTTAATCGGCATTTCTGACCCACCCCTACAGGTGCCCCTCCTGCCCTCACGCTGGGGCAGTGCAAGCACCGGGCCCTTGTTCGCGGAGCCGCCCCTTACCCGCGGTGCCTTCCTGGCGGGGCTCCCTCGGGGCAGCGCCGGGCTCGGCTCCAGGAGGCAGGGAGGGCACTGCCCGCGGCAACGACCCCTCACGAGGCAGCTCCTCGCTGGCCCGGACCCCTCACGAGGCAGCTCCTCGCTGGCCCGGACCCCTCACGAGGCAGCTCCTCGCTGGCCCGGACCCCTCACGAGGCAGCTCCTCGCTGGCCCGGACCCCTCACGAGGCAGCTCCTCGCTGGCCCGGACCCCTCACGAGGCCTCCTCGCTGGCCCGGACCCCTCACGAGGCAGCTCCTCGCTGGCCCGGACCCCTCACGAGGCAGCTCCTCGCTGGCCCGGACCCCTCACGAGGCAGCTCCTCGCTGGCCCGGACCCCTCACAGCCGGGGCGCTCCCGCCGCCTCAGGGGCGCTCGTGCGGCCCGCGGGAACCGCTCGGGACACGGCACGGCCCGTGGGCTCGGGATCCACCGCGCTGCACAACAGCCCCTGAGCTCCGCCCTCCCTTAAGTAGGCAAAGATCAACCCCTGCAAACATTTGTCCCCGCCCCGTCCCTTCTCACCGCTCCCCCAGCACGTGGGAGCACGCCCGAGCTCCGCTCGCACTACGACAGGCGCTCCGGGCGCTGCCCTCAGCTCCGCCTTGGGTCAGTTTGTTGCTCCCCAGCACAGCTGGGCTGGCGGGGCCCAGGTGAGCGGGGCACACCTGCGGGCACCGGGCTGAAGGTGCCACCACGGCAGCCCTTGCAGGGCCAGACCCAGGTAAGCAGGAGCAGCGCTCTGATCCCAGGAGCAGCGCTCTGATCCCAGAGGGAATGCTGCTGCTCTGCACAGCAAAGGGGGAAATGCTCCCACCTGCGGCGCCGCCCGGGGTTGGCTCCAGGGGCAGCCCGAGTGACCCGCAGCCCGCAGGCGCCGGCTCTGAGGGGCAGCGAAGGGGGCGCGACCTTTATTGAAGGTATCGGTTCACACATTAGTAGGAACACAGGACCACTTCAGGAAAGGTTATCAGAAATACAAATATATTAAGTAATGTCAGACGTAAACCACTGTCTGTTCCACTTTTGTACATGCTAAATGTATTTTTTTCCCAAGTCTGGCCATACTGCATAGGTATGGTTAGTAGCCCTCTTTCTTTTGGCAGAGTGTTCTGTACAGACTGACTCGGCCCAGCACTGGCATTTGAGAATAGAAATCATAATGAAATTTAAAAAATAAAAAGGAAAAGGGGGGGGGGAAATAAAAAGACATATGAACGTCCTACCTAAGCTCTGTTTGAGTCTGGCAAGCTAGGTTGGAAGCTGATCTTATCCTTATGGCCAAAAGTAGAATACAATGGAAGCCTTCTCCAAGGAGAGAAAATTTACAGCTTTTATTAGGTCTTACAGATAACCAGGATAGGCTTTAGTAGTCACTGTATGGACCAAAAGAGATATACAATTAATGCAAACATGTTATATTACTGAACTAATATTACCACAAAAATTAAAAAGACTTCACCAGACAAAAAGACTGCTTTTATCTGGCTAATCTCAAGAGAGTTTTTTAATTGTTTACAAATAGTCTTCTGCAGTTGTAGAGCTGAGGCACTACAGACAGGCATCAAAAATCTCACCCAAATTCCCAGTTTTATATATCCTATGACTAAAGTAAAAACAAAAACAAAACCAAAACCAAAATCAACGCATTTCCATACAACTTCAATCTCAAATTTCTTAAGTCTCTTAAATTTGTCTTAAATTGCTGGATATCAAAAACTATTAACATACTTGCTCCTGAGGATAAGTAGCCCCCAAATTATTTTTTTAAGTATACCTGAAATACATCAATAATTTACAAACACATGTCAGGATTAAATGATTGGTAAGTACACAAGTCTTTGGTAAATAATAACTACTCTGTTCTTTACTCAGTTAAAAAACTTAATTAATTTTTAAATCTAGATTAACTGATTTGTTTAATAGTTATTTCTATAATGAATAAGGCTCACATGACACAATGCTGAGTGGGATGAATGGCTGTATGTAGCAAAACCTGAATGATGTTTTCAGGCTACAAATCTTGTTAATACTAAGTTCCTGCTCTGGCTTGTTTTATTTTTGTGCCCTTCAGCCAGCCCCAGGAAGCTGGATCTGAGTGAGAGCTTTCAAATGAACTACATTTCCAACATGTAACCATGTCAGCAATGTAGAAAATACTGTCCATTGCAAGGCTACATTCCACAGGAGGTACTGGATTGCATGCTAAAAACTACAACAAACCAATTAGGTTAAGTTTGAAACAATACATTACAGCTGCAGTAATTCCTAAAATGTCTGCTTTACCACTTGTGCAGTAAAACAGAAGAACTGTGCACTATGCATGCTTGGGCAGCTGGAGATGACTTCCTGCTCCCAAAGGAAACCTAAAGGCACAGGGTATGGGTAATGGGACCAAAAATCTGGAAACAAACATTGGCTTCCATTTTATCACAATAATGCAGTTAGAAAGTCAATGCTTAACTGATATTTTACTGTTTGTCTACTAGATGCCTTTGCTTTGGCTAAAAGATATTATATCGTGTCCTTTAAGAAAAATAGCAGCATTAAATAGATCTTGTCATTTCAGAGGAGAAATAAAAATATGTCTGCTTTAGGTTTGGCTTACAGAGTTTTGGCTTTTATTTTAAACATGTCCAAGAACTGATCATATTATTTTCAATGCCTGTTACAGTTTTACTGTTCTACTAGAGTTTTTTAATTATCTGCCTTGTTAAAGGATCAATTACACTTGAGACAATAAATAATATAGTTTACAATAAATAATTTTCAAGTCAAAGTATTATACTTACAAAATAATGTAATACTGTAATAGAACTTTCAAGATCAATTCCATTTTATATATTCTGCAGCAAAAATAACATTTCTAGTAGGAAGGAATTACTTATAAACCTAGCAAGATCTACACATTCACATGTGTATGTAAACAACAAGATTTATTATGTTCCCAGAAAAGCTATGCTTTTACAGTAGGTTTTAAGCTAAATTTTATTATAATATGATGGTAGGAAATATATAACAGTGTTTACATTTAGCTTCATCACAAATTTTAAACTGAAAAAAAAATATTGGTGCTATTATTTACAAACAGCAACTTTCCTTTAACTTCACAAGTGACTGTATCTGTGTGTGAACAAAATGTTAGGGCGAGGCATTCCAGATGAACTGCAGCTAAGTTTGGATGAGGGTGATTTCAGGATGAACAGTGAAGGTCCTGGCAAAAAATACCTAGAAAGGATATGAAAAATATAGCAGAGTTTACAGACAAAGCAACACTCAAGAGCAAAAGAATTAATGTTTATGCGCCATACCTTATAATTGTTGTATGCAAGAAACTGGGTACAGTAAATACTGTTTATAAAACACGGAGGGCAATAGGCACAAGCTAACTCAGAAAAGGAATCTAAACTCTGAGAAACTCTTTGCAAAATTTCAAAATGTTGTATGAGGACCAAACAGCTTTCTAGACCTTTATGTTTCAAGCCATCTAATAAATAAACAATGAAACCCTGCGTAACACTACTACCAAAAATTAATACTTCGACCAATAGTGTTTGTTATTATAGTACTATTTATTTAATTTAGACTAGGCAAAAACTGCAAGTGGCATTAAACAGCTTATAAAAAGTTAATTCATAAAAAAAAAAATTATTAGAGGAGAAAAAAGATTTTCAGCTTTGGTTTCCAGCTCTAATTCTCTAAAAATAGACATGTTATCATCACTACTCTTGTAAAGGAAGAAATAATGCTACACCTCGTAATTCACGTCAGCGACTATTTATCTTTTAAATTCAGGCAACTGTATAGCTTGTATTTCATATAATACTACAAACAATAGTTTATCGTATGCCTAATATTAATTCTTAAATATTTTCATGGTATAATTACCTAATTGTAGAAATCATTAGATGAGCACAGTTAAGTGTGCAAAAATAACATCCATACTAAATTAGAATTTCACATTTAATTATGTCAACGTTAGGAATTGTATAAATCATTGCTTAAAAATTGTTGTACAGTTCTAGTGAATCATACAGGCTAATGATGAATAAGTTAAAAGACTGATCACATGGACAGAAACAGCACCACAGTGTCAGCAGGAGACTGTACAGAGCAAATGTACACAGGAGGTTTGCTTAAGCTTGAGAAAAAGTTTTATTATAAAATATTATCACCAATATATTTTTAAACAATTTGCAAAAAAATAAAGTCAGATTTGGAATGGGTTGATGTTGAGCTTGACAGTTCACTGCCACCAGCCCGAGTCCTGCCTTTGCCTGATGATACAGTAAAAAACTCTGATACTCCCCAGGGTTACTTGCCATGTCATAGATAAGATCACTTAGCAACATGTAAGGACCGAGCAGTAGATGTTCTGGGGTTTTTTTTAATTTGACAACACAGGTGAATTTATATAAATATTAAAGTCTGACTTTTTATACAGCTTGATTTTAGCTAATTTTTTAAGAGATTTTGGCATATTTTTTGAGCTCTTCCATTGTTTTATTTACACTTTTAATTTTTTGATGAAAAAAGTGTCATTAATAAACATTTCAATGCTCTTATTCAGGAGCATTGTATTCTTCATGACATACAGTGGATTTACAGTTAGGAGATAGGATTCAGAATAAATTTAATTTGTTCTCAGCTTTCATTATCTTTTTCTCTCTCCCTATACAAATAAATTTTCTCAGCTAAAGAGGTACCCATGTGTAATATTTGAAAGCTTTAGTTTCACATACTTTCTTTCTTAATCACAGGCAAAATAAAAAATTGGTTAGTGCTCAGAAAAAACGAAGTTCTTCAAATTAAATTTTTTAAAGTCTTGAAAAAATTTACTTCCTATACATTTATTGAATTATACTCTGATCTTTTCTTGCACCATACAATTTTATGGCGAGTCAAGAAGACTATTATTAATAGTGCAGATTCATTAAAAACAGAAACCTAAGTGAAATAGTATTGTGGTTTTCCCATTTCTAGAAAAATATTTCATTACCTTACAATTGTGGACCATAACAGGTAAAAGCATTTATTTCCATATGTATCCTTCATTTCACAAATTCAGAATATCAGTTACATAGCATATTGTTGTACTCAGCTATAGATGAAACATTTGTGGAGACATATAAAAACTGTAACTTAGATCAATCAGAGTTGTCATGACACTCCATTACTGATACTTCGTATAAAAAGGGCTTAAATTCCTCTACCCTGTGAAATTTATGAATAAATTCCCTTCAAGCATCCAAAGAAACACAGAAACTGGAGATGAGAGAGTTCTCTTGGACCATTCCTTTCACTGCTTTCCAAATGCAAGGCTGTTAGCTGCAGCACATTAATCTGAGCAGTTTGAATAGTTTGTGGTTGGTCATGATGTAAAATTTTCTGCAGCATTAACAGTAAAAGCAATAAAAACTTCAAGGTTGAAGATTTTCTAGTCTTAGCTAATCCAAATGACTTTACCATAGTCCTGCTATAGCTGAGTAGATGGTAATATTGAATATGGTTTGGTTTGTGGCTAACATACTTCTACTTTTGCTGTGACCAAACAAATTCAGTTTCTGATTGGTTTTACATTAAGTTAGAGTGTCTTAAGATCCGCATGTCAATAACAAATGGGTTCAGTGTATCAAATAACTAATCTGAGCTATATCAAGTAAGCAATTAAGTCATAAAATAAGTTTAACAGATAATATATCAAAAGTTTGCTTTTCACATAATGTTTAACTCATAAAGCCCTTCTATGAAATAATATATATAAGACATTTTATATAAACAAAGCATTGGTAAGTTTATATACACAATAATTAAAATTGCCATTATGGATAGAATTTGGAACCTAAGTAATTTGAAACTGATATTTAATTCTCCACCTATGACTGTCTAATCCCAAATCAATGACTTCCACAGTTGGAGCATTTCCAGTAATCCCTGTACTGACAGTATTATAATCCCTGTTGTATCCAGTTGGAGAACTAAACCAGCCACTGGAGAATCGGGTAAGTGCCAAATAATTCTTTTACTATATGATGCTGTTTTGCAAGGTTTGAAAATATATTTATGCTCTGTAAGATGAAATAATAAACCTTTCAGCCTATAGGTTTTGGAAATGAACTTTGCAAACCTGTGCAATACAGTAAATGAGATGGCACTTACCTGACCCTGGGCTGGAGCTGTGCCCCTATAGCATCCCACTGCGAATGTGGAGCCACAAGTGTCTGACATGTTAGGATACCTCTAGGAATGCAAATCTGGAAACAGTGACTTTGAGGGATCTGAGAAGGGGAAGAAAGGAAATTTTCAGTTCACTTTATGGAAAGCCTTTGCTGCAGCTAATTAGGCAGCAGGCAATCAAGAGTTTAATAAGTGCACTTTCACACAAGATCTGTGTATCAAGTCTTCCTTTGGTAGCACTTCATAAGTGGGCTGCTGAGGTTGGAATGACTGAAACCCAGGAGCAAGGGAAATGTTGGGGAGTTTGCTTTTTTTTTTCCTTAAATACAGAGCGAAGCAGGCTTAAAGAAAAGTGGAGTGGTAGCAACACAGACTGAAACCTGTTCCAATACTATCCATTACACTTATAATATTCAAATTTATACCTTGTATCATCCCAGTGGTGCCTAATCCCAGTTGGGGATCCTCTTGAATCTGATGAGTATTTGTAAACTACCAGCAGGCAGCGTTTACAAAGCTGTACTATTCGTTGGCAACACTGCAGTTGCTCAGGAGTCACCACCTCTGTGCTTTTACTGAACATGGTTTCCCAAGAGCTCCTGTTGTGGAGAAAGACACAAATTCATGTTTCCTGTCACAAATTGCAATCTAAGAGCTTTATTGCTTTCTATCAGATTTAACAGCAGAGGAACAAGAGAAAAGCATGACCTTGCCTGCGTACAGGAAAACTCTGTACAATTTAACACAAATACTGGCAAATGCTGAGTCCAAAACACAAATTAAGAAGTTAATCTTCATATGGGAAATGTCCACTGCCATTTTTCACTTGGTTTGTTCCCTTAAGTGTTTATAGAACCATTACTTACGTTTAGCAGATAAACATTTACTGTCACATAATTGTCTATGTTTCTTACAACAGGAATAACAAAACCCACTTTTTAACAGGTTACCACCTGAATGCAAATGAGATATTAAAGGAATTAATAAAAGTAACAAATTATTTCTAAATGTCTTCACAGCATAATAATACTCTTTTTTTAAGGGCATGACACTAAGAAACAAACACGAAATTCATTTACAGGAGATTAGTACGTGCTCTGCTTCCTTATCAAAAAAAAATCATACAAGGAGAGTCTCTTGGTTTTCTCAGTTAAATACTACTTATTATTTCATCTGGTCATATGGGGTTAGTCTGCTACAATTAAGTGCAACTTGAAAAGCACATCTATAGAAACATTCCTTTTGTTTTCTTAAAAAGACATTTGTCTTTGAAAAGAAACCCACCAAATCCTACCACACTAATATAAAGCAGGTATGTTTTAGCACAGAAGACTACAATGGTTTTTTGCATACACCTTAACACTCCTGTTTGTGCAAAATTCTGACCAAATTACAGGTCATTCCATCTGTTTTAAAAGGCAACGTGGTCCCTGTAAAGACTTTTTTTTGGGTCAAATTCTTATCCAGCAGCACAGATAGTTTGTAAGCTTGAGGTTTTTTGTTTGTGTATGAAAGAAGCACTTTACAGAGTGAGGAAAATTTACTGCATCTGGCCTCAACATAGCATCTGAGATGATTTAACCTTGTCCATGGAGATCAGCAGTAACCATGCTAGTGTAGAAAGTTTGTCCTCAAGGCAATGTCAAAGAACCAGCAAGCTTACTGCTGCCTAGTTAGATTTTTTTAAATGAGCTTGTGTTTCACTGTCAGGGTGGTGAGACACTGGCACAAGTTGCCCAGGGACACTGTGGATGCCCCAACCCTGGCAGTGTTGGATAAGGCCTTGAGCGACCTGGTCTAGTGGGAGCATCCCTGCCGATGGCAGGGTGATCTATAGGGTCCATTCCAACCCCTTAACATTCTGTGATTCTATGATTAGGTTGGCATTTGACCATTAGTGACTAAAAGATAAGCTGTATGTATAGCTAAGTGATTTGTCAGCCTGGCTCCTCCAGATGACACGTTCCAGCTGAAACTGTTCAGTCCTACAGAATTTTCATTGCAAACATAATTTTCAAGTGATGCAAGCATTTCTCCTTAATTTTTATTCATACAATTAATTAAGAAGTATTGTTTGTTACAAATATAATAATCTATAACACATATCTAATAGATACAAACTGTTTAATTTCACAAACTGAATAATCAGAGAATCATTTAGGTTGGAAATGACCTCTAAGATCATTGCGTCACAGTACTACTTGAACAGCTACTATTTTCTTTAATATATTTTTCTCAATTCAAGTTCAAGGGAACTTTCCACATGTATTTTTATCTGGAAATTAATCCATTGTCTTCATTCTTTCCTCATGAAGTCATGTGATGGTTGGTAGAAAGTACCAAGATGAAGTTCTAAGTATTACATTCATTCAACAGATTCACAGTGCTACACATAATTATATTATAATTCAATCCATAAACCTCAGAAATCCTGTAGAAGAAACTCTTCTGATAAATTCCTTAACTTCTGGATTTTAAGGTCTGTGATACCTTTCCTTTCCTACAGTTAGGAGGAATTTTTTCAGTGAAAAATAATATGTGGCCTGCTGTAACTATGGCTGACTACGAACAGAGTGCTGTCCTGTTACCCTGATAACAAAGGCTGACATTGGACACATACATGTGACTTGTAATGGGCTTTCATAGAAATGTGCCAGTGCAACCTCCTCCATGTGCTACACAGATTCAGTTTATTCTCCATTATACTGCAGTCAACAGGGATCAGAGTACTGTTTCCTAAGAAAGCTTAATTTGTTGTGCTGTAACTTTAGTTTCCATATATTAGTAAGAAATCACGGAGTCCTCACCAGATCAAATAAAGACTAGTACACTTGATTGTGCAATATGGTCAATTATGTTCAATATGGTCAATTATGTGTTAGTCTTTTTCTAACCATCTGAAGTCAACAATTTGTCTTATTAGTTTTAATTGTTTATTATACAGTAAAACAAATGTAGCTTTATGAAACCATCTACATCCCTTTTTTTTCCCCTGAGATTTTCATTTTTCATTCTTTTTACTAAAATAGCACATACCAAGCAGAGATCTAATGATCAAGAGGAAACCCTAAGGCTATTAGCTCCTGTCTTCTCCCAAGACATATATCTTATGAATAGTTAACATACTGCATTGCTTAATATATTTTCATATAGTCATGCTGTTTCTGAATCAGCACATTAATACCCCTTCCCAACATGTTTCCCCAAATTCTACACATGCCCTGTGTTTATCCCAGTCTGTTCTTTAAGATGGTACAGCAGGGCAGTGATGAGAATTGGCCTCTGTGCTGCAGAGGTGCTGTCAGGAGTTCTCAGCTGTGTGTTCCATGGCCAGAAGGTGCTTCAACTGAATAAACAACAGACTGGGAAGGTACAAACGGCCTTTTTGTTTCCTTCCACGAATTAGGTACTAAGTGTATTACATGCAGACTGATCTCTACCCATGCTGGATATTTGTATATTACTTTTACTTTTTTTTTTTTAATCTTTTACATAGCAACTCCTCCTACAAGGAGCTGGATCTTTGCCAAAGAATAGCTCCACCTTGGAGTCAGCTGAGTCTTGTTCTGCATGAACAAAAAATCCTAGTCTCCCTAGAACTCTTCTGCTGGCTCAAAGACTCTTACCTCGGTGAGAACATTTCGTATTCTGCATATGCTTAGGCTTCCACCAGTATGGGAAACAGTAAATGTAATCAAGCACAGAAATTTGAACTCATTATTTGTAAACCACAGAAGTGACATTGCATTTGGCATGAGGTGTCAGATGCACTTGTGACTGAATTCTTCCCTTCTAAGTCTGGAGCTCAAACAGATGTGACAGTGATTTCTGTTGATGGCAAGTCCACGTTGGACACAGTGGCCTGGCCTGAAAATCATGCACCATCCCATGGAAGAGTTGATTTTAGGCTCAGATATTTTGAAAATTAGATTATTTTCCCTAGATTATTATATCTGTAAATACATAACTAAATACTGGATTCCACTTCTGAAAAGGTTGGCCTAGATTATTAGATTTAATTATACTATATCTTTAGATGCTGTTAAAACAAGTTCACTGTAGTACAGTATTCTCTTGAATAAAAATCAGCAACAAAGTATGCCAGCATTGATTGTAATGTTGAAGTTATGAAGAAGGCCAAGAAAAGAAAACTAGGCTTACCCTGAATTACAGAAGCAGTTCCATAGGCCCTGACCACGGCTCCAAAGCAAGCGACTAAACACCCGGTTAAACAGACGGTAGAGATGCAAACTTTCCACGTCTGGAGCTTTCCACACATGCTGTAGAACTGCACGAACACCTGTCCTGACTATATCCAAAACCTAGGAAAGAGTATTCCAGGTAAATTAAAGCAAAGGCATATTGCAAAACCGAAAACCAGCTGATGGCTGACTGACTGCACACACACACACACAGAGATGACTGCACAGCTATAAATTCCCACAGATGTCTGTGTTTCATTTCTGTGCATTCATCAGCAAACTTTTATTATACGCTTTTTCTGTCAATAACATTTTGCAAAGCCAAATCAAAATATTTTATTTTTATTAGAGAAAAGTTCATTTCTATTTTTTTCAGTCTGTTCAATACTAGTTCATTTAAATGACAAAAAGAGTTTTAAAAGAAACAAAATGGACACAATTACAGACTAGAAGCAACTTAACTAACAACCCAAATATTATATATCTTCTTTTCTCACCCCCTTTTAAAATATCATCTATTTTACAAAGAACTAAAATGGCCTGAAGAGCTACAAACTGCTCAGTGTTACTCTGGATCAAACCATATTAGTTTACCTGGCAGGAGACAGTGCAGTAAAATCAATAAGTGAGAAAATGATCAGCAAGATATTTAAAATAGCCACATTTATAGAAATGTCATGGATTTATTCTACACAGACTACCTTTAAATGTAAGTACACGCAGCTGTGGGAGGAGAGCTGAGCTGCATTCTGTACAGCACAGGCACCGAGGCAGCTGCACGCCCAGCTCAGCCCTCCTTTGGACACACCTCTGCACACCCCACTGGACTGAACTGGGGTGTGGGAGGGAGCTGGGACTCACCTTGCCTGCTTTTAAATATCTGCATGTTCTCTGCAGTCGGGCCCCTATGCTCCCTTCACAACCCCTGGAGAAAAACAGGTTCCAGAGTGTCATGGATTCTGACTATTCCCAGACTTACTGACAGCATCTAAATGGTTTTGTGCCCAAAGTAGTGTTTAGGCCTGACACTGGCACTTGGAACAGTGTCAGATCTGTCCTACAAAAAAGTCTACGGTGCATGTAACAAAAAGTCAGTTAAATCAACATAATTTCCTCTAAAGGAAACAGCCTCTCTGCCTCTTTTGCCTGACAGCATCTTCCAAAAGCCAGTCAGACTCGAGTGAGTGGTAAACAGATGGAGGTATTTATTGATTTGATATAGGATTTTGTAAATGAGAAAGTACAATGCTTTCCCAGGAAACTTTCAGTTATGGATGACAAACTGATTCACATGGTCTCTCAAAAGGTGAAAGAGATTTAGTAGAACAGTAAAGTATGGAAGCATGGTGTAGAATTGCAATTTTTTGGTTCTGCATAACAAACTTGTTTATAAATAGCCTGATAGGACACCATGAAGGAAACAAAGCATAAATAACTAAAATGCTTGCAGTAGCACAAGGAAGCTGTGTAGCAGTGCTTAATGGGCAGAAAATCTATAGATACCTAATAATGTCAGCCTTGATGAAATATGGGGTTTCCATGTTACTTAAGCTCTTTTTGAAGACCTAGAATTAGTTTGCATGCATAGGTCTTGCACTTAATCCATGCACATAATAATCCAATGCAAATACAATACTGTCACCTCTGTTGGGAATCTTTATGCATGCAGGTGTCTAGCCCACTAAAATTCACTCCCATAGTCTCCTCCTCCCAAAGAGTGAGATGGAAAGAGGAAGAAATTATAACCTAAGGATGCTTATCTTTTTTTGTGACAGCAGGAGCTAAACCCAGGTTTTGGATTGCCCCATGCCTGAGGAATGGGTCCAGACTTTCAGACACTTCCTTAGCAGCATTAGCCTGTTGTCTTCATGCTTCTCAAGCACCTTTCCTTGTGTCTCACCTGTCTGAGGCTTTCCCACACAAATGGCAGGTATCTGTGGTTGTATCCACCCATTTGAACTAACTAAGTCCCTAAATTATGTAAGGATCAACCATATATTTCTTTGCAATGTTGCACTGCCTAGTGGTAATTTACCTGTCTGGGTGGAACAGAACAATTCCACCCTGTATAGCCTCTATCACTAGTCCAATAGACATGAGCTAAGAACAGTGATGCCAATGTAGAGCTTTTTCTTTTACTTTAGCACCTGGAGTTGAAGAAAACTGGGTATCTTAGAGCAAGCCACAGACTGCCAGGTACTCTGGAAAAAAAAATTACTTTTCTTTGTCAATATGCCAGAGCAGGAAATGTACCAGTTAATTGTCCTTAATTTGCAAACATGGCCTCAATCATCCATTTAGGAAAAGAGACAAGGCATTGCACAAGGGCTGGAACGTCACAAAACCTACATCTTCACTTTTCTAAGTTAATTTCCCTAGCTTGCCTTCATCTTTCTGTTTACTTTAATTTACAACATTTACTGTAACAAAAGCAATTATCTGGGTGTAACGGAACAAGATGTTATGAAAGAGCATATTCAAAACCCTCTGGTAAGCATCAAAACACTTCTAAAGAAATTATGTAAAGTAATAGAACATGAAGCAGTCATAACTCCCCTCCCCCAGAAGTCTCTTTTTCTTGAAAGTCTTAGAGGTTAAATTTCTTTTTAGCATGCTTTGATTGCATTGGTTTACTCTGAGCTTGCTTCTGAATGCCTCCTGTTCTTGTGCTGTAATTCTTGAATATTACACACTAAGAATATGAGCAGAAGTTTAATTTTTCTACACCATGCTCAATAATTGTTAAGCAAATACAGCTGTCAGGGATGAACACTGTGAAATCTAGTACATTGCCCAGATATTTTCTTTTTGTGTGTTAGAATTTCCCAGTAAGCAGAGTGAAGGGGACTGAGATTCTGGTTTGTATTTCACAAAGTTGTGGAAGGGTACCTTTGAGACAGATTCCTTACATGCATAAATATTCCCCACCTTGTGCTCACTTCTCCTTCACCCACCTCATTGGAATATAAAACATACTTCTTTCAAATCAACAAAAGACATTTGGCAGTCCTCAGCTGCAATGTCATTGTCAAAGTTAATCCGTTTTTATAAACTACCCTTCCAAGAATAACTATCTGATTGCTTGAAGGGATTGAGGTTAAAAGCAGTTAAAAAAAAAGGCAAATCATTTCCAGTGCAAGCAAAGATGAAGGGCTCGCTAGTGCTTCAGGAATGATAAGTCTCCTAAGTTGTAAAAGATATCCTCACAAGAAGAGCAAAAAGTCCCTGTTTCTGGTTGTGCAGTTTTTGTGAGTAACAACCTGGATCAATGTGTGTCATCCTGATCCTACATGTACCCCTGGTTTAACAGGACTGCCAGTCAAATAAAGAGCAGAACCTCCCTTTATCATGGGCTTTCTGAAATAATGCTTAAAGGAGAAAATTCTTTGCTTGGCAGGTCCATTTTTTATTCAGTATAATCTATTCTAATACTGTGGGTCAAAAACTCAAATAACCAAGTGCAACATCACTAACTCTGATGGAGTTTTAACATTCTTGGTCTGAAACTGCTGACTTGTTTAACCCTTATGAATCAAACCTGCTGAGTCAATACACTTCTAAGAATGTTAGATAAAATTAGGTATTTAAGCTACTAATCATTTATTTGTTTCCTTTTCTTTCAGCAGATTAAGTTTTTAAGAAATTGGTTTTTAAATTAAAATCCAAATATGGAGCAAGATGATTTCCTACAATAGAATTAATTCAGACATATGTTAGTATCAATAGCCAGGATTTCAGCATCTCAAGTCACTCCCAGCTACTGCTAAACACCAGTAGAAACACTGCTGTGCATCTAGTTCAGCTGACCTTCAGCAAATGAAATATGTCACTTACTTTTCGTTGCTTTGTTGGATCCAGTTTTACCAACCAATAGGATGACACTTTTGGTTTATGATACTTCCAATTATCCATAATCTGTAATCATTGTAAAACACAAGATAAAAAATACAAAAAGCCCAACTGAAAGCTGGTATTTCGTTCATGAGCATTCCTAATGCTTAAAATTGTGAGCCTCCAAAAGACCACTGTGAGAAGTTTTCTCTAAAACAAATAGAAAAATATTTGCAGATTTATGGGGGGGGGGAACGTTTGCAAAAACGTGCAATTTCTGCTTATATATCTTAATATTGGTTTTTAATTGACCTTTGCTTAGGCACTGTTTCATGTCTTTGATAAACTGCGAGGCTCAGGACCGTGTTGGATGTGAGAAAGGCTAAGCTGGTAGACCAGAAGAGCCGAAAAGTGTGTGACTGGTGTTCTTTATGAGCAGCAAACTCCAGTCTGCCTTGCAGATACCATTCTGAGTGCTCTGCTGTGCACCTCTGAGAGCCAATTAAACACGTCAGGATCTGTTTTAACAAAATCAGATGAAATATTAATTGTGACATTCTTCTTGCCTTACTTAAAAGTTTTAACTTTCTCCACAATGAAAAATTGAATTTTCCTAACCTTCCTGATTGTTTCTCATATATTTTATAAGGACATAGGAATGCTTTCAGTGCTGCTTTTTTAAAGTCAGAAAGTATGCAAAGCTCCAAACTTCCAAACTCTTCTGAATTATCCTGAGTTTTGGAAGGTTAAAGGCCGAAGGAGCTCAAGAATCATGGACTGAGCTTTTTACTTTGCTTCATTTCAGTGGTCTAAACAGTGTCTAGCCTGTTCTTTTTTCTTATTTATAGATACTCACATCTTCTATAATTAATTCAGATTCTTCATCTGTTTTTCCTGGGAACTTGATTCTCATGTCATTGATAAGGAGAAGAGTCTCTTTTGTCAAAGCAACTTCTTGCTCTTTTGTTTTCTGTTGCAGCAAAGACTCACTCTAAAAACCAATACGAAGCAGAGGAAAAATTTCAAGAGTGTCATTAAATCACATTATAAAGATGTTTGCTTGAAAAAAAATTTATAAATAGGGTGATATAAAATATATTCTTTAAATTTATAGACATATTATCTAAGATATAACTAATATACACACGTCTTGTACATTAATGCATCACCATTACTTAGAGTTGTCAAGAAATTCAAGAAAAACAGTTCAAATGTAAGTTTGTTTGAAACAGAATACACAAATATATATTCAATATTTATGGTGCACACAATTTAAGTATAAATTTGAAATTTAGATAACAGACTTTGAATTCAAATTCAGCATTATGAAAAATATTATTAGTCACAAAAATCACCCTTTCAGTTCTTCACTTCAGCAATTGAACAGAAACTGGCAATATATCATTAAGCCACAATTTCAGGAAGCATTAAAAAGCAAGGACACTTTGCTGCACTTCTGGTCAGTCAGGGCTCTGACAGTGTCTTCAGTTGTCCAGAATTTTGTTTAAAATGTCAGTGCTTTTTATACCACCACTGATCAGAACCCCTACAGTGTCTGTAAAAGACCTTCTCTGGAGGGTTCGAGGGTTTTCTTTAAAACATAAGATACTATGTAGAAGTATTTCTGATCCTCTTTCTTTACTTTAACATACTTTTGCATTTTAATTTTTTTCAAGATGAAATTCAAAATTTTTAGGCATTTCTAAATCTTTGTATCTTGTAAAAATACAATACTTAAGGATATTTTTGCTCTAAGCTACGGATAAATACTTCCAAGTACAAAAAAATACCCTGCTATTTGATACATATTAATGTGGCTGAAATAGGATAGCAAATAGTTCCAAATTGTTTATAACTGCTATAATAACGTCTGTAATTTCCAACTGTAAATGGCTTATTCTAAACTTTGTTTCCATATCTTTAGAACATTTAGATCTCAGCAGCCTCCAAAAAATGGCAATGTACTGCTCTTTTTTTGCCCAAAAGATAGATAAACTAACACTTTATCATGCACAAACGATTTCTTTTTAGGAAATCACAGTTTATCAATTTTAATTTTATTCTAGCAGTAATATATATTATATTATTCTTAGTTGCAAAAATAATTATGAAGAGAGTTCCATTCAGAATACGGTGCTAAATTATGAGTAGTTCTTATCCATTCTGTAAGTAATTTTATTAACATTATTTTTAGGAAGTGTGACCTAAGCTCTATCACCCAGTGTAATTGTTCTGCATATCAAGATCATTTCTGTGGTGGAGCTTTCTCAATGAAAAAGAGAGTATAAGTTTCTTACTAATGTTAATTTAAGCAAGTAGCCCATTTTTAATGTCAGATGGTAAGAGACTGTTCTTAATCTTTCAGTAATTTATATTTGATATAAAGTTAATGTGAATAGAAAAATCTATATTAGCCCTGTCTCATTAAGCTCTCCGAGTACATCATGATGATAAAAGGGTACTTTTTAAACTCGAGATAGCTAATGCGATAAAAAATACCTTCGGCGCCTTGTTGTGAAGACACAATCTTAATGTCTTTCCAATTCTATTAACTGACTTTAGAGATGGAAAGCTCTGTTAAGGAGTATTTCACAAGATGTCAGCACACAATTTTAACAGGATCCTTTTTCATCATTTAGACAAAGCCTCACAGGCAAAACAGACAATGAGTGTTCTACTGGATAAAAATGATGATTAAAGATAGTAAATACTGTGAAGCAAGTTAATTAGCATTACAAAAGGATTTCTCATAATCAAAGCTCACCACAATACAGAAAGGCTGCAAATATGGGTTAAAAGTGCCAATTTGTTTTGCCCCATCTCCAGTGAATGATGTGGGTGATGGAATATATAGGTCAGGCATCAAAGCAGGAATGGCAAGGCTGTGGCAGCACATGCAGTGCAGTGTGAGCCTGGCCTGAGCCCCACCAACACTGCCTGGGTAAGGGAATGTGTGCTCCACCATGCAAACACAGCAGCACAAATGCCTGGGCTGGGAAGGAGATGCCAAAGAGGATGACAGTCTGGTAACAAAATGAAAAAATATATATGGTTCAAAGTACATTGTGAAATTATAACTAACCACACAAATTCTAAACACCTAAAAGTGTTTAATCTGATTATTAATTATTCAGTCTAGTTGCTTATCTGTCTCAAGGAGAGGCTTCAAAATGAAGGAAGCTTTTATCTTCCCTTTTAAAGAAAGAAAATGACTTGCAGTTATTGCAGTGGCAAATCCTGAAGACAACAAGCACTACATAAATTTTCAGCTGTTCACTGTGGAAGTAGAGCTCTCCTGCAGTGGTATACCATACATAAAACAAGTATGGGTTGAAAATTATTTACACCTTCTTCTACAACGGACACCTATACAAAGTCTTACTAATGTTTTATTTTGGTACAATGTATTTACCCTTGGAGTATACACTGGGTTTGGAATATTGATCTATTTTTGTTACCGTAAAGATTTTGAAGGCAGGTGCATCCTTATTTCAGAACCAGAAGCCCCCAAACAAATCACAGAAAATTTTTGAGAGACGTAATGACCCTTTCTATCTTCAAAAACCTATTTAGTAGAGAAGGCTGCCCATTCACAAAAACTCTTCAGGCTTCCATTCTCACAAAATGTAACATCTCTATTGCTGCACCAGGAACCCTGAAACATTACAGTTAGCACTCACCCTGAGTCATAGACGGGTCTGGAGATCTTACATTCCCAAGCATCTGTCAAAATAACCTTAGGCTTTCTGACATGGTGAAAATTAGAAATGTGTTTCTTGAGTTTTGGAGAAATGGAACACATTTTGAATGCAACTGCTGTGTTAACTCACCCCTGGAGAGTTCCCAGTCCCTAAGGTGGCTGTGTGAGAGACTCTGGCTGAGGATGGGCTGCGGTTCAAGGAGTGAGACCTGTTCACTGAGGCTGTTCTCTGCAGCTGCAGAGGGGCTTTGGCTGAGCAGGGCCGTGGCTCAGCTGCCTGGGGCTGCACAGTGAGCACTGAGATGGAGCGAGGGCAGCTCACTGAGCGCCTCATGGGGCCTGGGCAGGACGTGGGGGACGAGTACGATGGAGATTTGACAGGTTTATTGGAGGCTTTCCAGTTCATTCTCCCTGCAGACAAATTAAATGAGTGAAGTAATTACTTACTATTCTCTTAATGCCCATTTTTCAGTCTTTGTAACTAATAACATACGTGATCAACACGTGTGAACATATGTTGTACTACCCTGTATGATGAATAACGATAAATGCAGCACCCGGTCATGTCAGATCCCCTAATAAGACATCATTTCCACACTCTATAAGAAGATTTATTTCTTCCCCATATTCAGCTTTAATCAAGTAGACTCCAGTCCTCTATAACATCCATAAGATTTATTAGAGAGGGCATGTGCCCTGTAGGTCAAAAAGTATGTGACTACTGAGTGTGACTTCCTGACCGTAAGAATATGGAAACAGGAGAGAAAATGTGCTCGATGGATCCCATATTTGCAGATCTGGTATCCCTCCTCTGCTCCTGTATAGCTGTAGTTTTTTAATTCAGTCTTCTGCTAAACAAATGCTATGAAAAATAAAATTTTAGAAGCAGTACTACACATGTGCAATTACATTATGAAATTCTTTGAGACAATATACTACTAAAACAAAAAAATAACATGCTATATCTATTAATTTAGAAAATACTTTAAAGAAAATGAAACAAGCAAACCAGTGTTTACTCCTAAGATACAAATGTTGATACATTCTAAAATACTGAAGAATTTCATGTAATTCATCATCAAAGCCAGACTTACTTGGAAAAATGATTTCACTTACCTGATCGTTCCAGAGGTTTGTATTTATTTTCTTCAAGATCATATGAAACTTTTTTCTCTTTTTTTTCATTGTGATCTTCCTTTTCAGTTTCCTCTCCCGATTCTGACTCACAGCTACCACTATCACAGCTACTATCACTACTGTGGTTCTTAATTTTCCTTAAGGAATGTGCACTTTCTGGCATTGAACACAAGGGCTAAAGAAAAAGGGGAAAAAAAAAAAGTACCTGATTCAGGCAGGTTCAGGCAGGATTTGCACAGCTATAAACCCTCCCAAATTAGACTGGAAGTTTGTTCTATATTTTAGAATAAATGCTTAAATATTTCATTAAATTGACTCCACAGTAATCCTAATCTTTCTCACATGAAGAACAGCGTAATATAGTAATGGGAGGGGGGAATTATTTTATTTCAAGTATGACTTGCACTACCAGACATATTGAATTATAGTTTGAAATCATAAATCAAGTGCTATAGAATACTATTTACAATCAGTTTAGGTCCTTTGCTGATATTTGCAATAACTGAAGTTAGAGTTCAGCCATGATCAACATGGAGTAAAAAAACATGCCAAGGAACTTCAGCTGCTATACTTCTGAAAAAGAAAGTGATTAATCCACATCCTGCAGAGAGCAGAAACTGGAAGAATATAGAAAGCTGTGCTGGGTGTTCTTGGTGTCCCATATGCACATGGGATTCAGTGCCATTGGCTAATGAATCCTGAGCTATTTCCAAGGATACTGCAAGACAAAAATCAGAAAGTAGGAGACAGAGAAACTGATACAAGAACAGAAACGACAAATGAAAATTTTCCTTCTTCCATCTGTCATCGGTCAGACACGAAAAATGCAGTATCCTCCATTACCTCTACTATCCTAAGCAGATTGAACTGGTCACCTCCTTTTCCTACACATTTTCTTTCCAGTAACAGCTGTAGGAAGCTATGCTGATGGCAACATCTTCCTAGTCATCGGATGGATTGCAATTAAAGCTCAGATTTAAAAAAAATATCGTAATTTCTGAATATACTTTGAGTCAGAGTGAAATAGAAGAACTCTCGGGAAGAATTTAAACTTTCCTAATGTATTAACATCATGTAATGCACCTAGATTTATTAGGAGAGGTAACAGAAAAAAGCCCCAAAACATGCTGTTGCTGCAAGATACATTTTATAACTAAACATATACTTCCTAAACTTCCATTCCAGGCAAAGCAGGGAAGAGATTTCTGCCTAAAAAGTGACAGCCTGTTTATGCAATCCCAAGTTGTTAGACCAGATAAAGAGAAGTTAAAGAAGAATATACCATTGAGGAGAGCCCTGACAATTGCTGTTACACAAAGAATACATTGCTATGTATTTATCTATCTGCCAAAAGGACAGTGTGCCTTACTGCTTTCTTAAAAATAGCTGTCCTAACCATGAAATACTGTGTATGATAGAAATCCATTGATCAGACATCCCTGATGAGTTAGGCAAGGTATAATAAACATTTTCACTCAAAACTCACAGGGGCTTTCCACTTATCATATACATGTTCCTCACACATTCTACACTAAACAGTAAGAACATCCTGACCAGGACTTCACATCAATTAACACAGAAGAACAAAAAGAAAAGTTGAAGAATTATGAAAAGCAATAAGGACAAATGACCTCCTAAAGTAAGAGATATTTGATTGCTTAGCAAGTTTATTCACCTTGATTTTCTCCCTATGCTAACCTGATTTTTCTGTGATTAAACTCATCTGATCTTATAGCAAAGGATTGAAAAGGACAGTAATTGCTCATTTCCTCTCCACTAGCTGTTCTTTTCTTTGCCCAGCCCTTCATCCCACACACACAGGTACAGTGTGAGACACGGTAACCCCGGCAGTGTGGAGGTGCAAGGAGACCTCTAGAGGCTACAAATAAACTGGACATTTCCAGAATGCATTTCTCAATCTACACAGAACTCAGTAACATTTCATTGCAGGAAAAAAATGCCTGCATTCTGAGAAATTCTTGATTTTTTTTCTACACGGAGTTCCTAATCACGTTCAAATAAAAATAAGGCTGAAATTCCTGGCAATTATGGAACAGTTGTTTATACACACCCCCCTTTACCCTTCATATATAGATAGGTATGTGCAAATGTAGATATTTATATATGTTTCTATGTAGGGAGGAGGATGAGGAGGAAAACACGTCTCCCCTGACTATTCCAGCTGTTCTGTACAGAGTTTTCTGAGTCCTGACTGTTCTTTTTTTCTGAGGAAGAGAGTGCACAAAAGGCAGTGCATCTGACCTCCTAACAGTTTCTTCTGTCAGCAGGCCACCTACTGAATTTTAAGGGGAGAGACACTTTATGACCTTCTAAAAGAACCTTTCATGTTGGATAACATGATGTGAAAAGTACCTGTCCCATGGTCAGTTTAGTTTTTTTTCTGTTAGAATTTGCATACGTTACTTTCTTAATATGCAAATAGTTCTTTATTTGTAGGATTTTATGGTTACCAAAAGAGTTTTACAGCTGGATTATTCTCCTACCTGACACATTGACAGGCAATAGTAAGTTCTACTGCCTGTCCCACTCTCCAGATTTCTATAAAATAAATATTTAGAGCCTACACATCTCATAGCATCCCCTTTACAAAGAGGTGGCCAATTAAATGCATATCAATGGCCATATGCACCTCACCCCTCATAGGAAAGAGGTGCTGCTCTTTTGGTAACAGATCCAAGCCCATCCACAATGGGCATCTGTATTTCAAAGGGAGTGCACAGGACATTATACAACCAGGGAGGGTTAAATGATTGAGAAGTGTAACAGGACCATAAAAAAGATGCAGGACTAGAAATCCTGTATACCATGAAGTGTGCACACTGCAAGGAAAAGAAACAATCTCCCTGGAATAGCTAGTTTCATTCCTTTCCCTTTTGATTTCATTGATTTTATCACCAAAAAAATGGAAATTTCGGTCATAAGCAATGCTTTCTTTCTCCTCCAAATGCAAACAATATTGTACTGGTAGAGCAGCTTGTAAGCTACACAGTCCATTTGTCTGCTATAAAAGAAGACCGTGGCATATAGTCTGACTCATAATTAATCAAAATTCATCCTAAAACTAATTGAGAGAGGTTTTTCAATTTGGGCTTAGTACCCTTTTAAACATTTCCAGCCTCCAGTTTGGGAATGGCTTGTGTGCAACCAGTGTAGAGGTAGAATAGATCAAGTCTGTGTGATACAGTCAAACGGGTGGATGCTCTCTGGGGGTTGCTGGGAAAAGACAGGCTTCTGGAAAAAGGAAAAAACGTGACTGAGATGTTAAACTTGAATTAAGTGACCCTATGTTAAAGAACTGAAAACAAACTTCCAGGAAAAGAATTCCTGAAGAATGGGGATTGAGTGTGTTGCTTGGGTGGACTGGATTTTTTTTCTTCTTTAAACGAATCCACTGCTGTTAAGGCACTAGCTCACAAAATCCCCATATTTGTAATGAGGTCCCTGCAAATCTATCTTAATACCAGATTGGGTATGTAGATCCTCTTTCCAGTATGCATGTCTGTAATAAGAGGTAGCCCTTTGGACTCTTACACATATCTGAAGTACCTCTTCAAGCTCAGAACAATTGTCAGCATTCATTTTGTACTTAAATTCACAGATTTGTACACCATGTCATCAGAAACATGAAACGCTGTAAAAAAATCTACATGCATCAACAAACAAATCCATCAGAGCTCAGGAACACAGATGCAGGCTCTTCTAAGCAGACTTGACCTAAAACATTTGGAGGATATAAAAAACATACTTATTTTAGCCAAGCTCAAACTATTTATCTTTACTGGCTTACAGAGATATGCCATTTATTTAAGGCAAAGACTCACATGAACTATGCACACAATCAGAAAGCATTAAGCTAAAAATAATATACATTCACATTAAAAGCAGATTTGGGATACAAAAGAGGTTCCAAGATACACTGTACAACTATTTTAGCAAGTGAGGAAGCCACAGACATACTAAAATTATAATTAATTCTTCGATCTTCCATAGTGCCTTTTATTTCATGATCTCAAAATTTCTAATTTTGGAACTAATCAATTAAAGATGAAAGCATTCTTTTGAGATAGGCTATTGATATAAAAATCCTTTCACACACTGAAATCAAGCAATCTCTTGCACAACAGCAGTTGCCAAGCATGGCAATTCCTCAAAACAGTTTAGAGAGGGAAAGAAGGATCTTATATACACTTAAAATTTTAATGGGATTTAGTTGGACAAATGGTAGTGATGCTTCTCTCCATACTTTAAAAAAAAAAAAAGTTAGTGCCAGTCTGAAGAAGAAAACTTCCACCAAGACCAGCTAACTAAATTCCCCACTTAAAATTCCCAGAATACCTGTCTACAGAGTGAAACAAAAAATTGGTATCTAGAAGTCAAATACCTTAGGTCCTCGCTGCCTGGTGCATTTTCCCATTAGCTTTTCATCATCTATTTCACACTGCTCCAGAAGATCCAAAATGTCCTCCTCCTAGAAATGGGAATTTCATTAAAATTGATTCAAAGCAGGACATACCCTGTCCTTCCAAAATTCAAGCAGAAGGTGGTAGGAACTTGAAATTACTCTGATTACTAATTCCTGAAATAAGACTATGAATTCCTCCACAGGAGGAAATAAAAGAATTTCTTCTCATGCATGCATCTCTCCTTACAAGCAAAATGAAAGTTAAAATCAAGTCTTAACATGTATTAAAAATAAAAGTCTGAAGAAAGGGTTAAACAAAGATTCCTGTAAAACTGCTGGATGATGCCAACTACAAAGATGCAAAATCATTTATTTCTCAGATTTCAAATTAAATCACATTAACTGGTTATTAATATAGTCATTTTCCTACTGTCTCTGACTAAATAAGTAAGCAAACAGGCAGAGGTTTTGGATGCCTTTAACTAGTGGAGCTGGTTTTAGGGTATCTCTTGTTCCAGTCCATAGAGGTGGATGAATAGGCTGGGAACGTTACTGGAGGAAGAAGGAGGCAATTACCAGCTCAAAAGCAGTTTCTGCCAACCTCTGGTTTGGCCAGGGGTAAGGCTGAGGATCAGGGATATGGTAAAGTAGCTTAAAGCCATCTAGCCTGTCTCCACCCTGGGTCCACTGCAGTTCATCCAGATTCAAGGATCTGGCCCACAAGCTGCACAAAGAATAATAATAAAATCATGGAAACATTATCAAATGCTATTTATTAGCCATCACACATGATTATCGTGAAACTAAACCACAAGGTCATGAATTCAAAGATAAGTAACTTCTAAATACTTCATGTACTTCAGTACCTTCATTCTTTTCAAAGGATTATTCATTTCCCGCTGCAGTGAAGCTGCTCTTCCAGCAAGAAAGGTCTGGAAAGCAGTGGCTAACAAAGTGTCATACTTTTCAAGTAATGTCTTATCATCAGGAGGGTAAATTCGCCTAGCACAGGGAAAAAAGGAGAGGAGTTTAAGATAGAAGCTATTTATCAGGCTAAGAACAAAAGTAATGTCACTAATACAGTCTCTTCTATAATGCATGTGTGTCCCATCTATAGTAATTATATAATATCATACCATAAAACACAGACTCTGAACATTGCTCTCTAAATCTAATTTTAACTCAGTCAACACATCGTGTTTAAACCAGCAAAAAGAAAACCATGCAGGTCATTCCAGAGGTACACCAAAACCCAGTTTTGCAGTGCTCAGAAATTTCAGTGGGTGTGAATGATGCATGCAGGTGTGAATGATTCATTAAATATTAACAAAATATCACATGTAAAATGTAGAGCCACAAAATAATTTGTATTAGCAATAAAAGGACACAAACCAGTGAAAATCTGAACAATTGCTTTGATTTCATGGGCAGGATGTAAAGTAAAGATTGAATATGTACTGAACTTGAATGCTAAATCCTCCAAGCCTCCAAAAAAATAACAGGAAGAAATAGGCACTATAAGAAAGAAAAAGAATTCTGGTACACGGATATATAGAGTGACCCTGATTTCCATTAGAGCAGCAATGCCATTATTCTCTAAAATCACAGGTAAGAAGATTATGGCAGTATGAGAAGCAGGATTTGGTGATTTATTCATGTTCATCAAGCAAGAATGGGCTTTGAAGAACACCACTCAATCCATCTGTCACAAATGCCTGAAACGCAGCCAGAAATTATGAAGATGGAAAACTTAATTTCTAATGAATTGTAAGGAGTAATCCATAAATTAATTTTGCCTGCAGTGTGCAAAGCATAGACATTGTTTATATAGTGCCAGTATTATGTGACTTTTATGTATTTGTGAGTCCTTTCTGAACTTTTTACAAAGTTCTTTCTCCTTCTTCCTTTTCAGACTTTTTCTCCTTGGAAAGTTATCTATCATGAGGACTTTGTTGCAATGAAAATAGGATGGTTATAATATCATTAGACTCGGGGCAGTTCTAGAGCAAAACGAGGATGGTTTTGCTGAGGAGCTCTAATTGAGGCTCAGCCAACATGTTTTAATGGTGTGGATTCTACTGCAGAAAAAGTGCCATAGAACAGTACTTTAAGGGAAGGATAATACTTTTAATATAGGTAGAAGCAGACTGCAGCTGAAAGCCATTTCAAAGTCATATATGTCCTTTCCAATTCCTCTGGAATTCCCAAAATCCAGAAAGCACAGCTCCCTGGGCTGCCCAGACTCCTGCTGTGCTTGCAGACAGACAGCAGCTGAGCCAACTGCTGAGCTGACACCCACAGACTGAACCCAAGCCTGCTGAGGTTCATTGAGGTTTCTCTGGATTTTTGTTCAGAGTGCAATATTAATCCATGCAGCAATACTAGCACCCAAAATGTCCATGATTCTATGTCCCTGCCTGACAGAAGTCAGTCCTGCTTTGCGAAGGAATCTCACATGGAGAAAATACTGCATAACACTCCCATAAAACTCCTCTGCATCTCTGGCCAAGATTACTTTTCTTCTCAGGATCTACTGATTCTTCAGCCTTTTCTCTAGCCCATGGTAATAAGAAAATACAAAGCTGTTCTGCCCTTTTACTGCCCTTTTACAGGAGCACATTCCTCATGAAGTGACACTTCACTTTTTCCTGAGAAAAAAATATTGTTGTGTTTTTATTGAATGACATTAACCCAAAAGCTCAATAAGGAGAACATGTGGCTCATTTTCAGTCAAGAACTGAATAAACAACCTAAAACGTGATCATTTAATACGGGAGATTTTAAAGTTAGCAAAAAAGAAAAATGTGTTAAAGCACCACAGTGTTTCTCTAAATGATATGAAAATAACCACTTCATCACCTCATTTTACATTTAGGGGTTTTTTTACGTACTAGTTCAGCTCCATCAAGAAAGGGTGTAATTAAAACTGGGAAAGTTACAAAGACAGACTTTTTGAAAGCAAAATGTTAAGTCATCAAAAATGAAAATTTCACACAAACATCTATCTGTTTAAATGAGAACTTTTCTGGGAATTACAGAACATCTGCTCAAAAAAAGCAGTGATGAAGAACAGTAATATAGGCATTCTGACTAATTCAGAATAAAATATGTAAACTCAGATCTCCCACGTTCTGGATGAATATTATAAAGAGTGGGCAAATATTCCCATCATCTCTTCCATACTCTGCTCCCTTTCAATAAATATTCATAGGCCTTGCTTTCACTTCTCATTGAAGCACAAATCAAGAAATAATAATAAAAGCATCATTAAACAAAATTTTTGTTTTCTGGCCAATGCCCATTGTAACTGACAAGATAAAGCTCTTGTTGAACATATTTTACCAAGGAATCTGAAGGTACTTATGTACAAATACAGTATTTCAAATATCACTCTATTAAAAATGGTGGATGCACCAATAAATTTTCTGAATTTTTGGCAAGCCTCTGAGATACAAATCAGACTCGATTTCTTTACAGGGGAATAATCATACCCCTATATTGCCCCCCCTAATCCCCAGTGAGATAAGAATGATCACATGTGTTTACAGGACAGGTCCATAACAACAGTCATGCTCCTTGGCACACTGAGTGTGAACGATCACGTCTTTCAAACAAATGTCTTGCACAAATACTAGGGTGACTGATGTCATATAAATTCCTAAGTGCATATAAAAAATTAGAATCAAGAACTACCTGGATAAAAACCTACCTGATGTAGATGTATATATTTTCTATAAATGCCTACACATTTTTAGCAGAAAATTGTCATCTACCACAAATACTTATTTCCATTATTCCTGATGAATGCATTGAATACTTCCTACTAATACAGTCAAAAATATGCACCTGTAGTTCCCCATGTGTCTATTTTCATGCTCCTCTTTGGAAATCTGTTTACGTACTTGTGCAAGTCTTTCCTTCTACAAATCAAGAAAATAAGACAATTAAAACAAAGAGACCATAAACCACGGGCAAGAAACGGCACTTTTTTCCCCTTCCTACCAGCTCTTCTTTTCTCCTCTCCAGCGTGTGGCGCTGCTTCTCCCAGTCTGAGGAGCCTGGCAACAGTTTTCTCATTGACCCTTGACCATACAGTCTTTTTTGAGCCTCAGCCTTCTGCTGAGCTAAATTTCTCCTTTTATCACTTGTCCTGAAACACAGATGATATTAAGAAATGTCAATCCAATGCAGCTAAGATGCACTTTCATATCAAGTGTATCATCTGTATTTTCCAAACAGTCAGGTGTGGTTTATTACATAAAATTAGAATTGAAACACTCACTAAGTTGGGAGTTTATTTAGTATTAACTTTCATGGCTACAATATTCTTTAAGGGTACTGTGTAAACTCTCTGCTATACTTTAATGTACAAACATGGTTGCTTCTATTTTCCTGAAGTGTAGCTTTTTTCCAACATATCCCAGCTACAAACTTTTCCTGTAGAGGGTATGGCTTTTGACTATATATGACACTATCACCATGCCCATGACTGCACACACATCCCAACTTTGAGACCCCTTTGAAAAATAATTTTTTTTAAAAGTACAAAAATTACTATTACTATTCACTTTTTTTGCAAGCACATGTGCAAGAAGAAAAATTAAATTTGGGTTATTTCTATAGCAAAACTGACAGCAAGGGAAACATTTACATTTTGAAAATATGAAGGTGAAAAAACAGTCTTCATTTTCTCCCTGTCCAATTCAAGTTTTAAAAAAGAAAAAATTTTAAAAAAATCAAAGCAAACAACGATCCAGACTGAAGAAAAGAGGTCAAGTTACCGTATGTTGAGAAGTTGTAATGCATTCAGCAGAACACCTTTTTTTACATCATAGTCTATTTTTTGATCCGTTCCAAAGCTTGGGGCACGATTAATCTGAAAAAAAGAAGATATAGAATAGTCAGGAATGTTCAGGTTCATGGGGAACACACCTGTTGTAACAGGCTTTGGAGAAATGACTCTTTCAGATATAGCAGAGATTTACAGAACACATGTGGAGAAGCTCTTTTCCATTTGTATTTTTAAAAAAATAAGAGTATTGAGTATCACAGCTACTGGGAACCAGGAGCTGTACCTTTCAGTCACCAAGTTATCCAGCCACTTACAATGGACACCATTCAAGTACTGGCACTGTGAATCCAGTCTGATCTACTTGCACTTGCTGCAACCAGAAAATTTACCACACAAAGTGCTGTTAAACACATTATAACACATGATATGACGTGCTGTGCTGTGGTGGTCTAGCACAGGAAGAGTTAAACTCTTTCCTAGTTCCCAGCCTGAAAGCAACTTTAAATACTACTCTAAAAAGTAACAACTATACAAGAACAAAAAGAGCCTCTAATTCAAGGTCTGCTCAAGCATATTTAAATAACTTTTCAGATACACTTGACAGCAACACCTAGAGATCTATGTTATTAAATCAGTACATAGTGTGAAAACAAAAAATAATTAGATGTCTCAGTAACAAAAAGTTTATAAGCTAAGTACAAGAAAATGTTACCATAAGTATAGAGAAACAAGGAAATGCAACTGGGAATCAACAAGACTAAATCACACTCTTAACAGCCAGGAGTCTCAACCAGCCACCCTACAACTCTACCAAGCTGTGGAGTCCCTTCCATTTTCAGAAAGCTTTGAGAATGAATAATGATTTACTTTAGGAATCCTTTCCGGGATGGCATAAAAATTAATATTTGAGCAACGGGTGCTAGTGAGAGGCAGGAATCTCACCTTGATCGTGAATGAGCAGTGCTGGTTCCAGAAGGGACAGACACAAAAGGGCTTCAGCAGTGAATGCTAACACCTTGTGCCCCGTGCAAATCACAAGTGGGATAGTTTGTATGTCCAAAGCAGAGGGGAAAAGCGGTTAATTAATATGTTGTTTTAACACTCTAAGTACATCTTAGAGCCTGTGCAGCTGTGGGACAGGACTGTGCTGCTGGTGAGCCACCAGCTGCCCTGTTCTGGGTCCCAGCTGCCCTGTCACTTATGCCCATAGCCAACAGGTGCCTTTCAGCTTTGGAATCAGCTCGTTGCCTGGTTTTGCAGGCAGGCTGGCAAACTGAGCAGTGAGTACTGATGTTGAAACAAAAAACTTGAAAATTCGGCAGAAATAGTGAAAAGATTTATACATATTGTTTTTTGGAAGACTTTCATCCAAATATCTAATTTTTTAACCTCTTTAGACTGACCCATTCCTCTCCTATCACATCACAAAGGCTGATTTTTTTCTACACTGTTACAGTACAAACATTAATTTACATCCCTTTTTTCTTTTCAAGTGCCAATGAAATGTGATGAGATACATCAGAAATGTATTTCCACATGGTAGTACAAGGAATGCAAATACCATCACTCTCTATATTCAGCTGTTTGATATCTGCATATAATTTTACTTATGTAAGGAGCTAAATATTCACTGGAATAAAGTGTCTCGTTTTATCAATTGTGGTCATGGATGAAAAGCTTGAGAAGTCTTATGCAAAAACTGTATGTTAAGGCAATTGATTTTCCCTTAAATTATCCCTCAAAAGAAAGTACTGTCCCTTATCTGTCATGTGGTTATCCCTTATTTCCAGACAAGAAATATGATTGCTGACTAATCTGTAAGACAGTAGTACAGTAATTTTGATAACATACTAGTGATATGCCACAAGAGGTACTCCTAATAGCTGGGTACCAAACCATGTGCATCCGTCAGCTGAGAGACTCTTATGTCGAGTTCAATGACCCATGAACTGGGACATACTCAATTAGGTTGTGCTAATGTAACATCAGTAATTTTATCAGGAAGGCACATCTTGAAGGTTGTTGACAAGAACAGGATTGTATGAGGGACTGCAAAAGTACAAGCAAATGATGATAGTGAAGGCCTTGAAAATCCAGAGGCTCAGATACACACAGAGCACAGTGGCCAAACTGCGTTCACTGCAGGAATGCAGCCTTGTACACTGGATAACACGGGCTCTGGGGATGACAAAGAGAGCACAAGAAGTGATTCCAGGAAATGTGAAAGACTTGTGGTAAAACTTAAACACAATGTGGAATCGCTGGCCAGTGAATGAACAGCCAGCAAGTGGACATGGGCAGCAAATGAATAAAAATAACCCTACAGTGAAGCTAAGAGCAAAGAGGAAGAAAACTTCACCATCACAACAGTATGTTCTTCCTGGTGAAGAACCCAAGACACTGAAAACTTCCTATAACCACCTACCCCTCTCTTTTTGGAGTAGACCTCTCCTGCCTCATGTTGGCCTTTGGACCTCCAGGGACATAGGCAGGGCAAGTGTAACATGAGGGAATGGAGTCGATGCTGGAAAGCTTGTGTATGTGAACTTCAACTACTTCATTAATAGGAATTAGCAATAATTGGTGGGTCTAAGATGTTCACATTCATGGGCTGTTAACAAAGTTTTAAATAGATTTTGCTAGTTCAGTTACACTAAATAATACACTTCTGAATATGTGTATAAGGTTTGTGTTGACCACATAAATCACAAGAGAAGTTGGGTACCCTGCACTTAAGGCAGTTACTAAAATATATGTGATCTTTTTCTCCGATGATCACAACTGGATATAATGAGGTTGAACAAGGCTGGAGTCCATCCAAGAACCTCAAGTGTATGATTTTCCCTCTCACATAAAATAAGCAAGCTTGGAAATTTTGGTCAAAAAGAGTAAAACTGGATTTTATGGGAACTGAAAGGAGATCTAGATCTAGGTAGTTGTTGCTACTCAGAAAGGATGGAGGCTGCTGAGACTGCACAAATGCTTGCCAGAAACATTTGGTGCCACAAGATGGCAATCCTGCATTTCCCAGAGCCCTCACTCCGGTAGAAGGTTCCGGAAGTTCAGTAGCATCAAGGAGCAGGAGAGCTACAACGCATCAAGGCAATATAAACAAAAGTCAACTCAGGGAAGCAGAGTCATTATAATATGTTGCACAATTATTTCTTGTAATAGTTTATTAAGCTATCTTTATAACAGAAAAGCTACATGAGGCGTGGAAACATGAAACTAGATTTATCATCCTAATGCTATTTTGGCAATTTTCCCATAACACTGGGAACATTCAGGGCCTTGTGATTAGTACTTGTTACCACTGTCAGAAAGAATGATTCACTCCCCTAAGGGGGTTTTGGCCAGATTGAAATGGTGGAAAGAGATTAAGAGTGGAAATCTGGTGAAGAAGCCAGAACTGTTTTAGAAAAAAAAAATTATCTATATATGTGCACATATATACACATGGAATATATATATTATGTATAGTGTATTTATATACATTGAATATTTGATCTTTACTACATTACATGTAGCATACATACAGTGTGCATACATATAAGTACTCTGTTGTGAGTGCTGCAAAAAACATGAATAAGCACAGTAAAAAATAGTAGACAAATACAGAAATCAAGTAAGTTTCAAAGTTTGAAAATTTTGTTAGTTTAGTTAAATGTCTGGCAAAGTACTTAGACTTTTGTATGAACAAAAAAAATAGTAACCAGGCATACAACTCCAAGCCCTGAAGTATTCTCCAGCAACTCAAAGTACCAGAGCAGCATTTACTCCTCTAGGAGTTCTCTCTCTCATAAACCAGAAGTCTGGGATAGTATGATTCTCCTTGGAGACCCATTATCATAAGTGGTGAATCAAGCCCCCCAGACTCTCCATACCTCATGCAAACATGAGAGGACATAGAGGTGTGTCCTTCAGAATGGATTTACGACACAGGCTGCCTCACCATCTCTCCCAGAAGAGCTCTACCAGCTTTTGCTACAGGGCTGGATGCAATGATACATGGACCAGCTTTAATCTGCACTTCAGTAACTACATCCAGTTATATGCAAGCCACAGGCAATCTATAGATGGTAATCTGGAAGTGTAGCACTAAATCAAAGGGACAGCAGGCTTCACTGGACAAAAACAGAAGATGTCAATGGAGTACAGACTAAGTTCATGTCATGTGCTGCTTTTGGCAAGAACATCAAAGCCACCAAATATGCCTATGTCTGCACAGCAACAGTGGAGGAATTTTATTTTTCTAATTAAAATTATGATGAACCCCTGAGAGAAATAAGAATGCCAAAACAATTGTTGGCAGTATTAATGGCCTAAGAATGAGGTTATAATTCGCTGAGTTAATTGTGTACATTTTGCTCATCAGTAGCCAAACCATATTCATGATTTACTGTCAATAGACAGATTTTTAATACATTTTGCTGTTTTCCTCCAGCAGGATAGCCTCCCAATCAGTTAACAAAATGATATAAGACAATCTGAAAAAGACAAGTGAGCTTCATCTATATGTCATTAATAGTGCAATTAAAGAGACACAACAAACGAACTTCAAACATTCCTGTTTGAAAATGTGTGTGAGCACCACTTGAGCTTAACTGTACCACTACCAAACATATCAGAGGAGAAATGTTTCTTCCAGTCCATTTATGCCAATTGCTTGCAGTATTTCATGTATACTGAATTAGTTTCCTCTATTTATGGGGGTGTTTTTAAAAAGCATAGGAGAGAAAAAGAACACATATCCCCAAAAGGGAGCAAATTAAGAGTGTACATTGACAAAAGTTGCCAGAGCTGTATTCCACAGCCATGCTTCTGAAGCAAATCCATGTAGCACCCAGCTGCCATAATCAGTGTCCTCCAGCTACAGTAACAACTACATTAACATCACAATTCCCATTACAACTTTCGAAAACATCTGAAATGCAACAGCTGTCCAGGAAAACAATTACTTTTACTTGAGTATCCAAAAATCACTGCAAGGTAGTGTTTCCATAGGGGTGCTGCAGAAAAAGCACCATTTATGTACTCAACAACAGCACCTCCTGCAACGCACCGATTTTCTCTGCCGGTTTTCTTACATAGATATGGATTCAGCTGGGGCTCAGTTACCTTTACTCCTAAAACTTTCCTTTACATCTGTATGCAGAGGTTTACCTCTAGGAGCCATGGTTTTAGTTTTCTGTCCAGCAGAATGTCAAACCCCAGGACTTCAAAGCAGACGCTGTCACTGCCTGGAGCCTGCCCGGGCCTGCACATGCGATACGCGTGAAGAACATGCGGCTCTGCAACGATGAGAGTCTTCACCACCAGCTCCTGCAGGGGTGGGTGCCACAAAAACTCATCAGGGCAGAAGGCACCAGTATATACCGAATTACTGTGTTGCATACTTTACTATCTTAAATGTCATTTACATATCTACTAAAAAAATTAAAATACCAAACAAATAGTCTATAATAAATAAACTATTTCCATAGGAGGAAAACATATAATTTTATATAGTTCTAGACTATATTGTTATACTTTGCGTGGTACATATGAACTTGGAGAAAAATAATAAGTTAAATAATAAAAGCATATGGGGAACATAGTACAGTATAGCCAATCTTCACCCATTTCATTTTGCAATATAGTTTTCAGCAAGTATTCTCAGAATCATACATACAGCTCTAAGCTCTAACAGTCTTAGGCCTATTCCTCACCTAAAGACACCTGTAACACAACCACTTTAGTGGTGCTGGTCAAAGTCCACAGATATATACAATACTGACTACAGTGTTGTAAATATTCACACATAAAATTCACTTTATACTCTAGAAAAGTCTCCAAGAATTTAAATGGGATGGTTCCTTTGTATCATATGACTTATGTGAACCACTGTTTTAAAGGTCTTTTGATCCTCAGAAAAACATTAACGTTAAATTTGTAATCTGACTCTGAGGTAAGTCTTTTAAAGAACATAATAATCATTTCTAGTATGTCCTTTGCGGCATGCATTGCTGAGAATTTGGATTAATAAAGTTTCAGAAATCATTCTGTATTGCAGTAAAACAGACCAACTAATCTTCTAAGAACACACAAAATAAATAAAAGTGCATTAGTTTGTCTTACTGAAATATCACTCCAGAATTTGGAGACATCAAGATTATTTGTTTCTAGAAACTCAGTAAACCATTTTATGGAGCGTTTACTTCCTTTGTCTTCTGTTTCATCCCGTTCAAAGTGCTCATTATGTTTATTGACAGAGTAGTTAGTCAGATGCATATACAGTTGACTCTAAAAAAAGGGAAAAAGGATATAAAAAAAAAACTTAAATACAACTCCAGAATAGTCAATTCAAAATAATGAAAATTCTAAAAGTACATTAAATCAATAATGACATAGCCAAACAGTTCATATTTGTAAATACACTATATGCAATTCTTGGAGATTTATACTGAATGCTGAATGTTCTAACCCTCTTCCAGCAAAACCTGGGCTCATATTTAAGCCAGCTGCAGTCCACTGATCTGCCACTCAATATCTGGTTAGATAATGTAATATATCTGCCATTTTTACAGGTCTGTATGTAAACAACTAGCTAAAAATGTGAGAAGCAATTATGATAACTTACAGAATGATTACATTCCACAAGAAGCAAACAATAAAGATGGTATTTTGAAGTGCTACTTTAAAAGTGCTAAAAAACACTCTGGCATCTGTTTCATAGACAATCCCACATTTCAGTTTTCACTGTAGCTTATTTATGAGAAATGTTCTCATTATAGTGATACTTTAAAATATCTTTTACATATAAACTCATCTGCCACATTGATATCTGCCAAAATTGCTCATTTTTAACTGGCTGGTAGCCATACATCAGAGGGAGGTAAATTTCAAGACACACACAACATAGAATCATAGAATCATAGAATCGATTGGGTTGGAAAAGACCTCCGAGATCATCGAGTCCAACCCTTGGTCCAAATCCAGTCCATTTACTAGATCATGGCACTCAGTGCCACGTCCAATCTGCGTTTCAAAATCTCCAGGGATGGTGAATCCACCACCTCTCTGGGCAGCCCATTCCAATGCCTGATTAAATGAGGGAGTACTACAGTTACTTTAAGGAGCAAAATGTCACCAGCATTAGATTCATGTTATCAGTTGAATTTAAAAAAAACATTCCCTTTGCAAGGCCAATTTATAAATCATATCTGTAGATTTACATAATGTCCCAGTGCAGGTATTAATTTAGCTTTCCACTTACACTACCATGAGGACTGTCCTCATCACAGTTCTCTGCCGTGTTTGATTACATACAGGAGAGTAGTTGATATTCTAAGTTGACCATAAGCTTTCTGTTCCGTTTCCTCTTTGATAGCTAACACAAGCCTTCTGCTGCCATTTATCTCACTATACTTCCTTATGTTTAAAAAAAACTTCATGAAATCTACCAAACAACTCGATTTAACTGCAAACTAGTTAAAAATATAGTGTAGTAGCACTAGAAGTAATGAATTTCTCCTGTGGCTTCCAATTACTCCTTTGAGAATCATTCTGAAATCTATTGGTTTTCAGTCATCATAACTGTAATCTTTTCATGAAATTCAAATTATTTCAGACAAAAGTGATTATTTTTCAGACTACAAGAAACATGACAGTGTTTTGTTAAACATGTGAACTAATAGTCTGAAGTTATTTGGAACAATGTCACTATGGAATAATGTCACCCAGAGAACAATGTCATTGGGGACAGGCCAGGTTATTTCATACAATAGACAAACCAGAGCATGAGCAGTTGTGAGAACAACAGAAACAACTGCCCGTTCCATTTATCCTCTCAGAGCATATTTCAGTGCTGCTAATGCCGAGATTAGTAGCAAAACAAAAATATTAAAAGCAAGCTACTCCAAATATAGTACTGGAACCCTTCCAAATACAGCATTTGTACTGGGCTACAAATTATACCTGCATTTTTCAAAGATGCACCAAGACACAGTCACAATTTTAACTTGCAAGTAGGGAGGAAGGCTCTACATGTGTTGTCTGCTACATAATTACACTGAAGTAGCTCTAAAAGTATATGTTATGGAAAAAGAAATATACAATGGAGTACAGAGTGAGGTATAAGAAATCAAATCTACCAGTGCTTCAAATCTACTTCTTTCTTACACATCTGCATTTTAGTCTGTGCTAGAAGAGAAGGGTTACACCCCTCAACAGGCCAAGATGCTATCCAGTGAACAAGGGGATGAAAGTGTCCAAAATCTTTAGCAATCTCACCATTTCTTGGTTTTCCCCAAGCTCACAGCAGCCCTACTGATCACCCTAAAGCTGCCAGGTCTGTCCTGTCCGTGCTGCAGCGGGCACTGACCAAGAGCAGCAGATCCCTCAGTTCAGGGGCTGCAGTGACCCCCTCCCACACTGCTCCCTTCTGCTGCTGCTTCCCTCTGTTCTGAAACCTGCAGGACCCTCAGCACAGGCTCTAAACTTCAGGGACATTAAACAACGATCTGGCAGGAGATAAACCTTATTACCATCTCCCACCCCAGCCCAGACTGAGTCTCACATGAACATAAAAGCAAAGTGACTGTTCTTGGAGTGAGTTGATTTACTTTATTTTTTCTGGGTTGAATGTCAATAATTGATATCTTTTGCTTTCTTGTAGAAAACATTTAAATATGTACATATGTAGCATACATACATGCAGTCATATAAAATTTTTACATATAAGCAATAATATGGTTATGCTTGTGATTTTGAAAAGCATGAGTTAAGTACTTTCATTTTAATTTTTTCTCTTCAATGACAATGCAGAAGTTCATCCAGACGAGCATCAAATTAAATCTCACACCCCAATTTATTTTATCTTACCTTCTCCAAACCCTATACAGGTAGAAGTCTATATGCATAAGCAATAAATTGGAATGAACTCCAACTTACCAAATTTGAGTCACTGGGGGGGTGATACTTTTCCGTGCCCATTCTCACCAGTCCATCATGATATAAAAATACTTTTAATGGATCACAGGAGGTTACAAGAATATACACACGTAAATCAAACTTGTAGCCTTCCATAAGAAATGGTTTGTCAAGATATTCCTGAACAATTAAGTGATCCTGAGCTTGTAACTTTTCTCCATTTCTTATTAAAGAGATCCTGGTAAAAACAAAAGTTATTTTAAAAATGTGGAACTTGAACATTACTCTATGAAATACATTTCCATGGTCACTCAGCCAGGTAATCAGCTAAAGTCTACCCAGAGAAAGAGACTTACGTATCTAGTTTTTAGGGGAGAGAAAAAGTTCCATTCCCTTACATGGCTTTTGGTTTCCTGTCCTTTATGGTTCTTCACTGGATGAAAACAGGCAGTGAGCCATTTCAAAATAACTTTCTGCTTGCTTTGATTCAACAATTTGTAGTAATGGGTTTGCTCTGCACTCAGAAATTGTTTGGCAGAACGACCAGTCTCCAGCTTCTGTGATTATTCCCCCTGCAGCTCTAAAAATAGACTTCCAGTCTTTGTCACAACTTCTGCACGAGGTACAGGCTGCAAAGAACTTTCAGTGCTAACCTGACATACTGATGATGTTTGCAAAGCAGGACACTGATCTGCATGGCTAAGAATGGCATAGATTAAGCTTGGTATTTCTGTATTTCCAGTTTCCCCACATCAGAATGAAAAAAGGTTTATATATGAATTATGAACTCCCAGTTCCTAACTACATAGACTTTTAAATAACTGTAAAAGCTAATATTTTCAGTATACAGTTATTAACCTCAAATTCCCAGAACTTTGCTACCTTAATCTTATTCTGTATTATTTAAGATACATTTCAGAGTTTTGGTGCTGAATATTCCTATCATACTGAAGTACCTTCCAGGCATTTCTCTGAACTATGCTGGTACCTTTCCCTTCAGCTTATCTTTGTCCTTATCAAGAGGACTGAAAAATGAGGAAATGGAGAATTATTTTTCTAGTAATTCTGATATATTTTGAATAACTAAGAGCTTTACTATATTGCATAGTCCAAATTGATATTAAAAGCAATAAAAGCTACAACTGAAATATCTAGAAACAAGAAGTAATAATACAATTGCAATATTTATCTCATTAGATTTTTACTATGCAGCTCTGTTACAGACAAAACTGTTTCAATTCAGCTGCAGGTCGTGGTCTCTTCAGGGGTGTCCCTCTTCCAGCACGGGTGTCACCTCCTCCCAAGAGTGCACCTCCAGCCACATCCCCAAGAGCATTTCCTCTTCTCTCCTATACCTTGCAGCTGCTGCTCTCAAACACATTTCTGCTCCTCTGCCTGGCTGTGATTTGGGAATGCAACGGGGGGGCTGGGCTGGTCTCAGAGCTGGGAAACATCCTGACATCCTCCCACACGACACCCCCACAGCCTCAGCCACCAGAACCCTCCCCTTTATGCCCAGTGTGCTCTCACCCCATAAGTCTAAAAGCAGCAGATAAATTCATAATAAAATTAGCATGAACTTAATAATTATTTGAGCTTATTTGAGGCTTGTGAAGCCTTCACCCTATACATGGATCTTCATACATGGATCTTGAAATACAATATTCTTACTAATACACAGCTTCTGTTAATGTTATTAGCACTGGATTTCACGTTTGATGGGTGAGAAGATGAAGTTAACTCACAACCTACCCATGTCCCATTGCACCATTAGCTGGTTTGACTATGAAAGTTTTCTGTCTACGTTTCTTCTTCAGTTCTTTTACATAGTTCTGAAACTGTGTGTATTCTGCAGGGAAGATCCACGTCCGAGGAATAAAACTGTACTCCTGAGGCTGACTCTTGATCATTCTGTAAAAAAAAAGTTTAATCGAGTTAAAATCTTCTGACTACTTTGATGTTTCAATCCTCAGGATTAAAAAGCATTTATGACAATGTGACAATGGAACTTTTTCAACAAAATTCTGTACCATAAAATCAAACTTCTGCATTTCTTTAAGCATAGTTTGAGCTCTGTAACATATTCACATGCATGTGCATATGTTATATTCAAACACAGACTATCTTGTGCATTTTTGCTTATTATGTTACTGGCATCCATCTCATTCTTGGCATCCATTTGACTCCTGTTACAATTTTTGGCCAGTTACTCAGATGATTTCCTGCTATTCCTATTCTTTGAAATATTTTAGAAATATGGATATTTTTGGGGGGAAGGGGCAGAGAGATATTTGGCAAGTATTTTAATTTTCATACTGTTATGTGTTTGGGGAGGTATGAGGATCAACACACAAAGAAGAGGATAGGGGATATTTGGAGCTTCTTCATGGGTGCAAAAAATACTAATAACAGGCATCAAGATAAGTGTAAAAGAGGCAATATCATTTTCATTTTTCATTTCTACTATGAGCCTACATAATAATCCCGATGCAGTATAAGATACTTTAAGTGGCTTAAATACTAATGGAAAAAACAGAGCTGTCAGCCACATCTGTAAGGCTAGGACTGCAGCCAAGCCCTACTGGCATAATAGATATGCTGTCACCAAACTGTGTAGCCAACTCCCCAGCAAATATTCTGCAGAATCTACAATAGCTGTAGTATAGTCCTGCATGAGGTTCAGTGCTTTCACAGCTTCATCATAACTATTATTTTTAGAAATCTGATTTAATGAAAACCACTAAATATTCAGGAAAACTTTTAAAAAACATAAGGAGATATTATAATTCCTGATTCATGCATATTGTTAAACTACTCTCCATCTGCTCTATATTTACAAGTGTTATTACTTTGCCAACTGAGTAGCTTATCTAGGCAGAAATTGTCTTATTTTTAGGCAAAAAGCAATTTCTGTGTTAGATAAATCCCTCTCCAGATTATTTATCATATGCATCCTGTTACATGTTAGAGACTTGCCATTTAACTTACTCAAGGGTTTCGATACACACACTCCCTACCCAATGAATATAGCTTCAAAGTATTCCAGATATATTCACAGTATTTTGTGACTGCAAGTACATCAGTCCTATATGCCTTTTCCCTTTGATGCATAACTGGGTAGATTACAAACACTTAATAATATGAAGTGGAATACTTCGGCATTGTTTACAAGTTCTGGGGCTCACTAAAACTTTCAACAAAAGAATTCAGCTCTGTTCTTTCCTCGCTTGGCCCTATTCAGAAAGGCCTTAGGAACATAATCAAGTAGCTTGTGGAATCAAGGCCTATTCCACTACAATAGCCCTATTTTTCAGCACATCTGCTGTCCACTGCTGTGGGTAACCACTTTTTCACTGTGCTGCTCTATTCTTTAGCCTTCACAGTCCTTACCAGGAGGTCTGAGAATTAAACACCAAATTATTGTTCTTCTGAGTGCTATTTTAGCTCACAGATGTGGTCAGACTGTGCTCTTGATCTCAGAGCACTTTCTGTTCAGCAGAGTCCAAGGTATTGAACAAAACACAGTTTACTAAAGACATGACTTGTCAGTCCAACAACGCAGGTTCCACTGCCCAGGTTTCAAAATCCTCCGGCTTTTCAAGTATGAAAGGAGGTTAGTAGGTAGGGATGGATGAGAATGATTCTTGGCCCATGATCAGTTCATGAACCTTTTAAATATAAATAACAGAGGAGCTGCAAAAAACCACCATCTCACAGATGGATCCATTCATCCTGTGCACCTTCTCCCCCATTTACTGTATTCATTCTCTAAGCACACTTATCCTTCACATGAGGAGCTCTCATCTAAGAGTGCATTCAAAAATGGTCTCTTAAGATCTAGTTGGCCCTACAATGGCACTTCTATTACTATTATTTTTTTCTTTCTTGTGTTCTGATTATCACCCTTGAAAATGTTGCTCATGCCTGCTTTTGTTCTCCATTACATTCCTCTTTCTACCTGTTCCATTACTCCACGTTCACTTTCTTTGCTGGGTTGTCTTCATTCATATTACACATGCTACATATTACACTGCCCCCTTCCACTCTTCTGCATGTGAAAACCACGTTGTCCTATGATCCAGATCCTGGATATTAGCTGCAAAAGGAATTCCTGAAGTGCCTTTCCTCCTGAATAGTATTTGCCTATAGTCAGGTAGATTTGCTCTTTCACTCCATTCCCAATAACTGGCATAAAATGGAAGGGTGAGATCAGTATAACATCAAATGTAGAAGTAAAAGAAAAAAGACTCTAATCCCCACCAATTCCCAAGAAAAGTTCATGAACTGTCAATGATAGCAATCAGTAGAGTCAGTAATGGGAATGGAAAAGATGGCATGCAGCAGAAAAGCAAGAGAATAGAATTAGTGTTTCTGTACAATCCTGTTTAAATAAATTTTAAGACAGAACAACAGCTGTAGGGGAAAAAATCCTGCACTCTACAGGAAAGAGCCTGCTCAACCATGTATCCCAACTGACTTGTGATTTCACAAGCAGTCTCAGGGCATATAATTTTCATTTTTATAAATTTTGAATACTAAGCATTGAGTTGTGAGGCCAGTAGTGAGAAAAAAAACAGACTGATTAAAACCCTCCTGCCTGTATGGATACTAAGTGAAGTCACAACACAGATGTTTGACCCAGAGTTATCAGAGGAATTATTCCTGTCCTATCTATATGTGCAATCTCAGCACTGAGTAACTTTAAACTGTTTCAACCTTGGAATTCAGTAGCTTGAGAGAGGTATAATCAGACTGTATTTGAAAGAATGTGTACACAATAACAAGAGCCTTTTGTCCATTTGACTAATTTTTAAATCATAGAACTGCAGCAATATGTGGGGATAGCACTGTGTACAAAGCTGCCCAGCTGACAGTGAAAAGTGCTTGTGAAGTGCTACTGAGCCATGGGAGCTCTGGTCCACATGGAGGACATGCAGACACCACAGCAATGCACAGAATATTCACATGCATTCCACATATTGTGTGTTCTAGTTACAGAACACAAAAGGGGAGAGAAAGAAACTGAGAGAGAGAGAGGAGATAGCACATTAATTACATTAATATGAAAACAAATTCTCTTCTGGTAACAGTAAATGCAGTGTAAGTAATGTTGGGAGCCAGAAGATTAATTCTATTAATAACTGCTCTTCAAACTAACTTAGATTAGAATAACCAAAATACTGACACATATTTATCCCCAAAGTTTTCCTTATTTTCAGGCTGCCAAATCATTATTTAGTATTGTTTTCTTACAGGTCTTGCTCACAGATTCCCAGTGAGGATAATTCCTCAGAAGCCAGTTACTCCACTATAGTGAGAACGTGTAATTGGACAAACGAGCCTCACTGACTTACTTTTTATATAAACAATAAGATGCTTCACCTTTGGTCATCTGGTCCAACCTCCCTGCTCAAGCAGGGCTATCCTAGAGCACATTGCACAGGATTCCAGATTCACTATCCATCCACATACTAGTTATTTTTCTGTTCTACCACTATAGGATATATAGCTGGGTGTATTATGGATTAAGTTTATTGTACAATAATTCAAGGCTCACCTACATTCTTCAATGTGTAGACAGAGAACTGAACCCACATCATTTTCCATTGAAGTCAATTGGAGAGATACAGTAGCCCACTCCAATACTACAGATCCAGGACCAAAGCAAAAGTTATTAAAGAACTTTGGAAATTATTCTTGGTCCTCTCACAGTTTCTTAGTAAAAATGAACTAACTTTACAAGCAAGAGTTCCATATTGTATTGCATTAAATACTATAGCTGGAAAACTTCTTAATATTAAAAGAAATATTACTTAGTCATGTTTCTTGCCAGAAAATCCTTTCTGCATATCTCTCCCATTCCTGGAAAATGGTTGATTCTCTGAGGAAGTAGAAAAAAAAGAAAGCTGGTTGATACTTTCTAGTTTTTCTGGTATACCTAATACAATCATTTAAAACATTCAACTGCATGCTCAGACAAAAATAACTAGTATTAAATCTAAATTATTTAAGATAATATCTTACATTATACTACATATTCTTAGCAATAGTAAAGATGCTGTAAGTTGTATTCTCCTCCATCAACATAAGTGTCTATTGATTTCATTTCATACATGAGACTATCATACCCTTATTCACCAAGCTATCTAGGAACAAAGAATGCTATCACAAACAGTAAAGAAACCAAATTATTTATTCACAGAAACTGTGGAGAGAGCTCTGGTTGTTAACTTACTGCTTAAAAGCTTATGAGATACTTATACATGAAGTTTTGCATCTTCTTTCAAACTCTGATATTCACAACACCCCCAGCTGGCAGATAAAACATGAAAGAACAGCCCCAAATATTTAAGCACCAGATTCCCAGTGGTATGAACAAATAACTCTGGGAAAGAGAATAGGATTTTAAGACATGCAGTGGTACAGCCTCATTGAGCCTGGCTGGTTGTGTTTTGTGGGGTTTCTTTGCCCTCCACACCAGCGAAACGGAGCACTGACACATTACTGAATATTTCAGAGTGAAGCAGTTTACTGAAACGTCACAAATCTGAACTACCAAAAATCTCCCCTACCTGATAGTTCCGCAGCTCAGCAATCTTCTCTTGCTGCACAGCACAATCACTCCAGATAAGATTGGCTGTTTCATCTTCATCAGGTGTTTTCTCAAATCCCATTTCTTTTATTACTATACGTACTACGGAGAAATCACATACATAGGGACTATTTTGAAACTGTAAAATAGATTAACTTTCAAAATTTAAAAAACCAAGATTTTAAGCACTTCCAATATATGACCCTTTGTCTGAGAACAATGTTAGCATGCAAGCTATTTATCTTGCAATATCAGCCTATTGCAAAGCTGCCATTAAAATGTTACAGCACCTTGCACTGAGGCAGGAGTCAGAGCACAACCACTATGGGAACTGAAAAAAGCCTCAGCGTATTCCCCAGGCATCTGGCAAAAGTCCACTCGTACAGCAGTCAGACTTAATCATGGTTATGACATAAGTTAATTTTAAAACAGTGATGCCTATAAGTGTCAGTGCAGACAGGGACAAGAATGCCTCCTTAGTCCAGCTGCAGTAGTTTCCAAAGCAAATGCATGCATTATTTTAATTAAAAAAAAAAAAAGAAAAAGAAAAAAAGAAAAAAGACTGATTATGTGCCATACATAACTCTGATTGTAGGAAACAAGATTTTAGCACCAAGCATGAAAATACAAAACATTAGCAGATTTTATTGAAAAGCCTCTGTGTTATAATTAGAGTATTTTAATTTACACTGTTCATGTTTCAAGGCTTTAAGGAGACTTCCAAACACATATATAACACATATATAGAGGGCTCTTCCCCAGCCTTCTTGATTACTTAAGTTTTTACCTTTCAGGGCCCTTCCCTGAGTAACAAATGGGGATTAACAGATGCACAGTGCTCAAAGCTATGAATTCAATGTTACAAGAAAACTCCAGGTTTCTTACAAAATACACTCCTTTGGAAATGTCTCACTGTCAGCTTGATGCAAAGTCTGTTAATTCACTCCATTACTTAGTCATTCGCTCACATCAATGGCTATTAGGATGAAAACAAAATATGTAGCTTCCTACCAATTTCATATTTTGTGCCAGCGATGTTTGCAGTGATGGCTCCATTGTTCTTCTTCTTTCTGACTTTTCTTTTAGTTGTGCCTTGATAGGGTAGTTCTGAACTCAAAGTCAGAGGATCGGTTCCACGGTTATCTTTGAAAAATAATGTTGCAACTATCAACATTTTTATATCTCAAATAACATACACAAATGAACTAAAACTAAAAAAAAAATGTACTTCATCACAATTTAGAGGTACAACTATACTGAATAATTAATAGGTTATATTAAAAATTCAAGACTGTCATACCTCCCTCATTAGAAAAGGACGGCATTATAACCTAGGACAGTGCAGACGTAGAGTTCAAATTCTGCTCCAAGTTCTTAGAAAATGGTGAAACTGTCAAACTCAAATTACTTAAAACTCCAGTCATGCCATTTCAGTCTCTGGTTGTAGCAAAAATTAGTTCTGGAATGGATAGATATCTGCGTTAAAAAAATGTAAGAGAGACTTTGTTATAGAGAAATCCTGAAAAAATAAACAGCAGAAAACTAAATATGGAAACACTTTTAATAACAAGTATAAAGAGTTGCTTATTTTGAAAGATTGATCAAGTTATTGTACATACAAAACTTTGTTAATTACAATTGAATTGTTTTCTTTCTGGGAAAAATCATTTGCATATTAATTTTCAAAATGAAATTATATTACCTTATCTTCCGATTTTCATTTGGGTATGGGAGATTTTGGACATGCAAATAAGTAACACTGAATTCAATCAATACTGCCAATTTCTATCTCCACAAAGCTCAATGAATGGGTTGAAATATCAGGAAAAACTCAGGAATAAAGCACTTCTAAACACACTGCTACATGACTTCGGGCATGCAGCGCTGTTATACCAAAGTCTGCAAGGAAACAAACACTGTCTTTGGCAGGCTGCCTCAAAAAAATCTACGAGTGTTCAATACATATACAATATGTCACTGATTTTTCAATGCTTTCATTTCTTTTCTGCATTTATACGTGTAGCCTAAGTTCCTTACACTAGCTTTAGATTATTGCTGCTTTTAGTGATTGCAAAACTTATTTAAAAGAGCACAAGGAATTTCTTCTGCTATAAATAGCAGAAAATTACAGGAAAGTCAAATTCAGCCATGACTTATGATTGGTCATAATATTGGATAAGATGTGCATTAACAAAATTACCAAAACATTACTTATAAATCTTCATTTTTAATTTGTGCCTGTCTGTGTGTGTATACACATGACAGAGAGAGAAGAGATGCAAGTATGTTCTGGACAAGTCACACACTTGGTAAGAAAACATAAAACCAGATATTTTGAGCTGTAAGATCTTACTTCCTTTCAAGACAGACATTTACCCTTGGCAGTCCATTAACACAAAAGGATAAAAAGAACAGATTACAGTTCTATTATGACTGCCAGAAATGTACCAGGAGCCAAAATCTGCTTTGTAACAAGATGACCAAATATCCCTCATGTCCACTTAGTGGACCATGTGCATTTACCCACAAAGTAAGAACAGGGGATGTTTTATACACAGATACAATGTCAGACAGCACAGCAGTAACACCCAGCCATTTTGAAGTTTTAATGTTTTGGATGACATTATCCAAGAAGGTGGCCTGAAAGTCCTCCAGCCTGCTGGCATACTAAAATTAGACACAGAGATGGGAAAGCAAAGCATTCATCCTCCTTAAAACCACTGTGAAGGAAAGGCAGTGCTGGGCACAGTGAGTCACTGGATATTGCATGTTATCTGTCTCTCAAGCTAAGAATACCATCAGAGTACAGGACACGTTGAGTTCCTGGGAATAATACTGAAGTACGTCTGTTAGCCAATTAAGGACTCCCATGCACGGACTCAAATGCCTGCCAGTTCTTTCTTTGCTGTACTGACTAAAAACTTTAAACAAATTTGGAAGAATGCTAGGAGGACTAACATTTCACTGTGAGAAACACCAGCCCTTTACTAATGCACCATGATTAACAAGCTATGATGTGCTAATAAAAAGCAAGCACCTCATAGAGCTTTCATTCAGCTCACAGTCAAAGAAAACTATCTGCCTAAGGTTACTATAACACACTGTATTCTGAAGGCTCTGAACTGCACCACATTGTTGAATTACTGCATTTCTTTACATAGAAACTATTCTATTCTTTTAAGAAGAATACTCTCTAGGATATAAATAGAATGTACCAACACTCAGGGTCTGTGACTTTCAACCAGTCAACTTTTTAGCACATACATGAGCTGAAAGTAAAGATTTATGGTCAGCTTTAGAGTATTCTATGGACAATTTGTAGTTCAGTCATATGGAAAACGAAGCAATGGGACTGTACTCTGTATTAAACCTTACTCTAGGATTTTCACTTTTCACAAGCACTGTCCCATACTAATAAAGTTAAACTGTATTCTGCCTTAAACTTTCATATAATAATTCAAAATTGTTTTACAACTGCTTCACTTCTCTTCAGTAGCCCATCTCCAAACAACCATTTAACCGAATACCAGAACACCAGCAGTTCTAAATCAGTAGTTTTCAAAAATATTTACATAGGATACAGTCCTTCTCTTTGTCCCTTTCCAAAGGGCAAACACAAGTCCAATGAAATGGGACAGTTTCAGCTTTTCTTCCCACCATGTCAAGTGACAGATGAGAGACACTGCACCCCATCTGGGGGGATACACTACCCAAAGCACTACCTGGGAATCGCACACTAAGCCATGGGAGCAGCAGACTTGTCCCTGTTTAGACCTCCACGCTTTCTATGTCCCCAGCAGCACAGTAGTGGGAAATTCCAATTCTGCAGCAAGAAAACCTAATACCAGCCTTCTGAGGAAGCTGCAATCTTTCCAGGTAAACTGCAACTGTTCCTCAAACTCCCCTTTAGATGAGCAGTTCTCTAACTGGAGGAACGGGTCACTTGGAAGAGAGGAGGACATCTCTGAGAGCAGGAGATGAAGGGCTGCTGCTGAGGGGGGAGAGCTGGAAGGACAGGGGCCCACTCTGACAGAGCACTGCCATGCAACATTGCAGGGCACAGGCCCTGGCAGCCACAAGCTCCTACACATCTTTCTCACTCTCTTTTTGAATTCTATACAGCAGAAATCACTCCAGAGTTACTTTGTCCTCTGACCCAGGTCCTCCCCAGGCACCTTTTCTTGGGTAACACCTTGATTTGTTATTATTGTCCAGCCCTACTCCTAGGTCAGAGCACAGCTGAAGGAAAAGACTTGGAGCACACACTCTGTGGGGAGCCTCTGCCACCTGATGGAATTGGCAGTTACAAGGCACAGCTCAGAGCAGGACTCACCTGCATCATGCACAGTAAGAGCAGCAGCACTGTCAGGTTAGGATTACATCGAATTCTGAGTCAGTTCTTACAGCTGTGACAAGTTTTTACTTATAAAATAAGCACAACCCATAACCCGTTTTCAGCTACAGCAATGTAGAGGCATATCTCACTAGTAGTCTACCTGAAAGGCTTGTTTCTAAGAGATTGCTTTTAATAATATAGAAGAAAGTGTTCTATTTTCAAACTGGGACTTATGGAGCAAGTCAGCTGTCAGAAATCTCTGAATTCACACTCAGAGAGAAAAGGATTGCAGTTCCTGCTGCATATCCCATTTCTCTGCTGAAATCCTGATACACATAAATTGGTGAAGGTTTGTTGCTCAACCACACAGATTCAAGGGTAGCTGAACAAAAATGGTTAATCTATAAATGGAGAAAGATTTGTGAAGAAGAAACGAATGCATCTTCCTCAGGTTAGCACATTCTTATATAAACAACCACTTTGACTAAAAGTGCTCTACAGGGAAAAAAAAGATGAGATGTTATCTTTACAGCTGCCTGGCAAAGGTGTGAGAGTGCCAGGAGGAGAGATACATTGCACACAATCCCGTCCTAGAAAGTGACAGAAGAAAAAAAAGAAAAAAGAAAATTAAAAAGGATCCCCTCCAGGGACAGGAGAAACAGGATACTCCTGTTGGGGAGGGAAATGTTGCACACAGAGACCAAAGCAGATGCCTGAGTCCATCTAAGGGAACAGTCTGAGCAAGATACAAAGGTGCCTCAGTAAAGAGCACAGGACAGTGGGAAGAAGTGGTTTCATAGTTAACGGAATGATCCCTGTTTCCTTGATAACAAGTTGTAACATATTACAGAAAATTAAAAACTAAGAGTATTTTGTGCTGTTACACAAAGTGTAAGGAAACATAAGTTAGGAAATTGCCTGGAAAAAATTCCTCCATTATCTACAAGTATTTTTTAACAAACCCCTCTTATTTCCTGTTATTTGCACCAGACTCCTCACGAGTAACCTCTGCCTTTCACGCTCCTTCTCTTTACATCTTGATGCAGTAGGGAGCTGAAAAGATGATTTTTCATCTCTAAATAGGAATTGCAGGCCATTAGACCCCAGGTTTTTGTTTTGTTTTGTTTTTGCCAAAAAGTAAGCATCGCCGAAAAAAGTTAATTAAATCAGGTCAAAAAAGAGAATGGAGAGTAAAATTCAAACTGAAAATAAAGGAGTGCAACTTGAGAATCTATTCCAAAGAAGTCAATGAGATTCTTCAACCTAACTTGGATCATACCAGTAACTATGAAACTACTACTGTGTACCCTAACAAAAAGATACTGGATTGCACATTTAAAATGGATTTAGTCTAATAGATTTAAGCATTAAGAATGGTACAATCACCTACTATCAATACTCCATGTTCCAAAACAGAGACAACACTGTCATTCAATGCGCTGTTTTTAATGTGAACTTCTTCCTTCCTTCTAAGCTATTGTGACACTACTGGTGGCCAGTTTAAAAGGCTCCATGGACTAAGCATGTGCTTAACTTCACATACATGATCTGAAAACATGACTTCAGACCTTAAGCCATGGTACATATGACAAGACCTCTCAAAGACAACTAACATTGCTCAAGTGTCTTCCTATTTACCTAGGTGAAATACTACAAAAAATAGATTGCCAGGAGGTTTTTTTTAATTCCCTGCATATTTGGGTACAGATAAATAATCACTCATCAACAGTGGAATATTTTACAATAGATTTTAAAACCAGCAGACTGCTTTCCTCTGAGCCCATTAGTACAATTTACCCAGTGCTGTCACAAGTGGCTGGAAATGCAGTGGCTGGAAAGAAATGCTCAAAGCTCCTGACATAAGGAGCTTTCATTGTGAAATGGAGACGCACTGAAGGCACAGTTACAGAACTTGGCAGGTGACCATAGGTGGGAAAGACAACGTCACAGTGCTGCAATCCCCACTCTGCAATTAGCTGGAAAATCAAAATAACAAAAATTTCACAGAAACATGAAAAAGAAAGAAGTGAAAATAGTCTTCAGAGCATTGACCTAGTAAACATCTGAGTTCTGGCTTTTTTCACTCTATTCTAGATAATAAAGTTTTTCAGTCCCTTAGAATGTGGAAGTTTGGATACAC